TGCAACACGGTCTTCTTTAAGCGTCCACTCCATATTTAAAAATGAGTAAAATTCTAAAAGTATACATTTTTATTTTCATGAACAATTCGAAATTCGAATTCAATAAACTTTTTTGTGGCCAGCATTCTAAAAGAAAAGTTTTTACTGCGTGACAATACTTATGACCTGACTAGTTATATATATACATAGATTGTTTTGTGCAATAGCGTATTGTTGATTTCGGTAGACGTTTTGTTAAATTAGATAATACGTAGTAATAAATAATAAAATATCAAGAGGATATTTCGTGGATAAATAATTAAATAAATTTTAAGACTTAATAGCCGAAATGTACATTTTTAACTGTAATTCACGAATTATTAGCACATAATCCAGATAGGGACAAAGCGACGTCAATAACATTTGATAACGATGTCAAATGTTCATGTTACTATATTCATGGCTATTTGAATGAACCGGTATTGGTTGTTTATAATTATTTGAACATTTATAGTTCTAACGTTCAGATTATTATATACCAGTATAGCAGTGTACTTAACGCACTTCGTAATAAAAATGTCTAGTGTGAACTTTATATTTTTTAGTGTTGTACTATGTATATTTCACGCGAAGCTATTAATGTGTGATAATAAGAAGTAAGTACAAATTTATCGCCATATAAAGCATCATCGTCATTCTTCAGTCTATTCCTAAAATTGATTCTTTTCAACGAATTCGAAAAGGAACAATCATACAATTTATCTACCCTGACCGGTAAGGTGCTCATAATTTAAGCTTAGGTAAACAGCGATTTAAATTGCACTTTCGCAGTAGGATATTAAAATCATAATACACGGTGACCACCTTTATTTAAATTTGGAGACGCGAGCTTATAATCTGACTGTTAAAATATTTAATTGTATTACTTCAATAAGCCACGTAAATAACGATTTAAATTTATTTTAAGTGTTCTGTGAGTCCATTTGTTCTATTGGCTTAGAAGGCAGACGTGCACATAACCGTTTGGTGGTAGTGTTTCAAAAACAATGTGCCGTGGATGAGCGGAATGGTACCATATAAAAGATGATGTCTACACAGGTGGTGTGCTATGCGATAGTCAAGTAGATGACGGGATTAGTTGAAACAGTTCCTCAGAGAACTAACCACGGAAAATACGGTACAGAACACAAAGAGAAGTTACTCAGTAGATTTAGTTCTAAATAGACTCCCACATTTCGTTATAATCCGAATCCGAGAAAAGTCCGTTAAAGAAAATCTGGAAAAAAAGTTCAGATAGATAATATAGATAGATAGAAAATATATGGTTTGCCCCAGTCCACCCCTCGTACATTCTACGGGATCCATTCAGGTATCCGACTCCAGCACGACGACTGCATTCAGTGTTTATTGGTTGTGGGGACAGCTTCCTAGCACGGTTTAGTGGTAACACCCGGGTACAGATTCCCCACTGACAGGCTGTTGGCGGCGGAGACCGTTTCACTGGATCCCCCTATATCCCTATGAATACACAGTGTCCCGTGGGTTTACGCCTAGATATGCTGCTCTGAATGCTCCAAGCAGCATTAAGATTGACCCTCCACAAGTGGTGGAAAAGGAACTGGAGTTCCAAATCACATGCTAGAACACTTTTTCTTTCCTATTTATGCTAATAGCCTTGAGAGGCTATTTCAGCTTCTCCATGACGTGTACGTGAGCTCATGGGTCTCAAACCGGGATTGTTGCTAACACTGGCCCTAGCAAGTGCAGTGCTTCGCAGAATCTACCACCGGATCGGAAACGCGACCCACTGAGAAGACCCGGCAAGAAACTCAGTGGGCTGGCTAGAACACAATCATGGGTTAGACTTATGGAAACACGAAACGTCAAACCACACCTGATGAAAAGTGATCACCGCCACCCATGGACATCAGGTATGATACACTATTTTACTTATAAGTCGTAGCTATATGTGTTGTTTTACACTGCGATACGTGTTTTTATTAGTCTGTATTATTAAAATGTAATTACAAAAATATGATATACAAAGAGAGTAAAACGTAGAAGGTATATTTATGAAATAGAACTGGATCCTGGCAGGTGATTTAAATTGCCACCACACTAGGTGGAACTGCCATCGTACAAACGTTAACGGTAGGCGTCTCGACGCGTTTATAGACGACCTCACCTTTGAAGTAGTCAGTCCCCCAATTTCAACATGTTATCCGTATAACATCGTGCTCCGTCCGAGCACTATAGACCTGGCATTGCTTAGGAACGTAACTCTGCGCTTACGTTCCATCGAAGCACTGTCGGAGCTCGACTCAGACCACCGACCTGTCGATATGCAGCTCGGTCACCCTCACAACCCAGTCACTGTTACGAGGACCATGGTGGATTGGAATAAGCTGGGCACGTGCCTAGCCGAAGCCGCTCCGCCAATCCTCCCTTACGGCCCGGATTCGAATCTATCCCCCGAGGACACCGTCGAATCCATAAACATCATTACCGATCACATCTCTTCCGCGATAATTAGATCTTCAAAAGAAGTCGATGTGGAGGACAGCTTCCACCGCATCAGACTGTCCCCCGATCTTAGGAATTTCTTAAGAGTTAGGAACGCGGCAATCCGGGCCTACGATCGTCTTCCCACGCATTCAAACCGGATTCGGATGCGTCGTCTACAACGCGAAGTCCACTCCCGCCTAAGCGACGCCCGTAACGAAAATTGGCATAGTTATTTAGAACAACTCGCGCCCTCCCACCAAGCATACTGGCGACTAGCTAGGACTCTCAAATACGAAACTACCGCTACTATGCCTCCCCTCGTACGCCCTTCAGGCCAACTACCGGCATTCGATGATGATGACAAGGCTGAGCTGCTGGCCGATGCACTGCAAGAGCAGTGCACCACCAGCACTCAATACGCGGACCCCGAACACACCGAGTTAGTCGACAGGGAGGTCGAGCGCAGAGCTTCCCTGCCGCCCTCGGACGCATTACCCCCCATTACCACTGACGAAGTTAGAGACGCGATCCACAACCTCCAACCTAGGAAGGCACCCGGCTCCGACGGCATCCGCAACCGCGCGCTAAAACTTTTGCCAGTCCAACTGATAGCAATGTTGGCTACCATATTAAATGCCGCTATGACGCACTGCATCTTTCCCGCGGTGTGGAAAGAAGCGGACGTTATCGGTATACATAAGCCGGGCAAACCGAAAAACGAAACTTCTAGATACCGTCCGATTAGTCTCCTCCCGACGATAGGAAAAATTTACGAACGGCTCCTTAGGAAACGCCTCTGGGACTTTGTTACCGCGAACAAAATTCTCATAGACGAACAGTTCGGATTCCGCGCTAAACACTCGTGTGTACAACAAGTGCACCGCCTCACGGAGCACATCGTGATAGGGCTAAATAGGCGTAAACAAATCCCGACCGGCGCCCTCTTCTTCGATATCGCGAAGGCGTTCGACAAAGTCTGGCACAACGGTTTGATTTACAAACTATACAACATGGGAGTGCCAGACAGACTCGTGCTCATCATACGAGACTTCTTGTCAAACCGTTCGTTTCGATATCGAGTAGAGGGAACTCGTTCTTGACCCCGTCAACTGACTGTCGGAGTCCCGCAAGGCTCCGCGCTCTCCCCGTTATTATTTAGTTTGTATATCAATGATATACCCCGGTCTCCGGAGACCCATCTAGCGCTCTTCGCCGATGACACGGCTATCTACTACTCGTGTAGGAAGATGTCGTTGCTTCATCGGCGACTCCAGATCGCAGTAGCCAACATGGGACAGTGGTTCCGGAAGTGGCGAATCGACATCAACCCCACGAAAAGCACAGCGGTGCTCTTTAAAAGGGGTCCCCCTCCGAACACCACTTCGAGCATCCCACTCCTTAATAGGCGCGCAAACACCTCCGCCGTTAGCCCCATCACTTTCTTTGGCCAGCCCATACCGTGGGTCTCGAAAGTCAAATATCTAGGCGTCACCCTCGACAGAGGGATGACATTCCGTCCCCACATAAAAACGGTACGCGACCGCGCGGCGTTTATACTAGGACGACTTTACCCAATGCTTTGTAGTCGAAGCAAACTGTCCCTCCATAATAAGGTAACTCTCTACAAAACTTGTATACGCCCCGTCATGACGTATGCAAGCGTAGTGTTCGCTCACGTAGCCCGCACCCACTTAAAATCCCTTCAGTTTATTCAATCCCGATTCTGTAAGATAGCCGTCGGAGCGCCATGGTTCCTGAGGAACGTGGATCTCCACGATGACCTGGAGCTCGATTCAATTAGTAAGTATCTGCAGTCGGCATCGCTGCGCCATTTTGAGAAGGCGGCACGACATGAGAACCCTCTCATCTTAGCCGCTGAAAACTACATACCCGACCCAGTAGACCGAATGGTAAACCGTCGACGTCGCCCAAAGCACGTTATTACGGATCCTCCTGATCCATTAACGGTGCTTTTAGGCACCACAAGCACCGGTCACCGTCCTCGTCGGACCCGTCGCTTGCGACGAAGGGCTCGACGAGCGAACTAACCCATAGACACAGCCCACTGAGTTTCTCGCCGGATCTTCTCAGTGGGTCGCGTTTCCGATCCGGTGGTAGATTCTGCGAAGCACTGCTCTTGCTAGGGTCAGTGTTAGCAACTCTCCGGTTGAGCCCCGCGAGCTCACCTGCAAACGTTAGGGCGAAGCGGAAATAGCCTCTCAAGGCTATCAGCATAGGTAGGAAAAAAAAAAAGAACTGGATGAGTTGAACTACGATTTCAATAATTGAAGCACGATCTGTCTGAGCAACATACGTATGTACCTACCATATATATTTTAATGCCTTCCATAAATAAGACAGCGTTAATCTACTTGCTATAAAGACATAATATATTACGTTTATGAAGTCATATTTAAGTACGTTTTATGAATATGCAATACAAATACTTACTCTTTGTTTAGAAAAATCTTTTGTTTACTTAATCAGTTAGTTTCATATCGCATTTGTAAGGTTAATGTATCTCTGAAAAGTTATCTTGCTTGTTAAAGTGGTAGAGGTTATAGGCTAATTTAGTGTGTATACATACTGGAGTGTGCGCGCTATAAGTCTCATTGATTTTACGAGCATAAAATGGCGTCGACATCCGGCACAAAGTGTGAAGACAAAATTAATAAAGATGAAATTGGAGTTAAGGAGAAAATAGTGAGCGAATGTGGAATAATGTAAGACTATTCATTTTCGATTCGTAACCAAGCTCACAAACGATGATAAGCTAATCGGTATTTTAATGTGAATTACGTTGTTTGAGGTTAAAATTAAATACCTAAATTACTACCTACAGCTCGACCAAGCTAAGTTTGCACCTCGCATCGATTACGTCACACTGCCGCTTAGGTATGGTCTGAAAAAAGTATTCGCTATGACTGTAAAAATGTAAACAAATGTTTGTTAGATTTTACTTTGCATTTATTGTTTTTAACAATATATTATACATAGGTACATTAGAATATAGCGATATCGGGTTTTTGTATTAAGACCACCTGGGCATTCTTGCACTTATTAAATTTGTATCCCAATTGCTCAGTAATAATTTTCCTTTATGTTTCCTTTTCAGGATTGTTTCTCCCTTCCATGTGTATGACCTTTCCTTTCATTTTTGTTGCCCACAACAATCCTCTCGAAGTAAAAAAAAAATGAACGTTAAGCGATCAGTAGTAACAAGAGTTCAAGAAGCGGGCGGAGCGCCGCATTCCAGCGAGGTGCAAACTCAGCTTGGTCGAGTTGTAAATCGATGCCTCCAATGAACACTACTCTAACTCCAAATTCGTAGGTTTACAGGAGTAGTTTAAACGAAAAAAGTTGGCAAATATATCTGCAATAATAAAGATTTTATGGTTTTTTCTTGTGTAACTAGCTGATTTACTCTTGCTTCGAACCCCATTAATAATGAATTCGTAATACTTTTAAAATAGTGAAGCGATTTGCGTGAAAAACGAAAATTTCAAAATTTTGAGTTAGTGTTCATTGGAGGCATCGAAATATTGATTTAACCTATTAATGAGTAGGTGGGTAGATATTATGTAAAATCTCAAGGATTTTTTCTATCTACTTAAAAAATATATACATAATATAGAAAGCTATTGGCAAGTATGATATCCCAGTTGGTTATCAGAGGGGTTTAAACACCGCTACTACCCTCGAAACATGGGGTCAGAAACCTGTCGTGTGTATCAAAAAAAGGATAGGATTATGGATACAATTAGGTGATGGAAGTTATTAATTTATGGAAATAACAAATATTCTATTTAGCAAATGAACGACAGGCATGAGTAAAACGTAGTGATTATATACTCTTTGGGCATAAGCAGGGCGGTGCCTAGTGGCACCACTAGTGCGGGCACGCAGCACTACTTCGCCTAAAAATAACTTTTTAGAAATAATTTCTTAGAAAAACCGAAAATATTAAACAATGTGTACTCCGTTCCCACTCGTAAAGCTTGTGCATAGAGGTAATTAATACAATAGAATAGATTTTTTTTATAACTACTTACTTGTTGTTTTATAACTACTACTTATACGTAGACTAGCTGAGTCCCGCGAAGTTATTCGCGGTTATTGTGATACCGCGGTGACACTACGAGGCGAAGCTAATCTAAAAAAGTAGCTTAAGTTATATACTCCTTATATCAGTGAAAGTCATTATCTGTCACGGTCGCTCATGGCAAACGTGTCCATTATCCATCTCTCTCATCATTTTGCCGTAAAATCAAGAAACTACCAAGAGCTTGTGCGAATAAATGTTATTTAGGGTCACGGTTCCAAAGCTTAAATGAACAAAAATAATAAAAATTAACCACAATAACCGAAAAATGGTTACGGTTTGACCAAATTTCTAGGTTTTTCTTAAATGCCCATAATTTCCAACCGCATGTGATTTTTTTTTCTAATTTTTCTCATGATGGTTACAATCAATCCTGTCGCCCCGTTTCGGCTTGACGTTAAGTTTTAGGACACCCTGTATGTACTGAATTGTACTGTGTATACATACTTATGCATTTAGCAAAAAGTGTTCAACTTATTTTATTATTACAAACAGACACTCCAATTTTATTTATTTGTATTGTTATAGATATATATTTCTTTTTAAACTATAATTTGTTTTCCGAAGTTAAACAATGGAATAAAAGGCACTGTGAATACAATATGTAAAAATCTTTTTTTATTCCAGTTGTTATATTTTGGATTATTGTGGGTTCATTGCGGTACACCTAAAAAGTAGTTACCCTAACGGCTAGGACCTAGCCTATTATACATTAGAACATGAATACTACTTAACCTAGCATGAGACATGAGGCATGATGGTTGGATGACTTGGTTTGATGACATACTAAGTAAGAATGTTTTATACAAATTTAACTTTTATACTTTTTTTGTTTTAGTGCCAGCGCATCCGTTGCAGAAACGCGTTACCTATTTGATTTTACGAAAAATGATAGCGTTGAAACCTGGGAAGAGATTTCCGATACAGTACGTGACGTTGGAATGTCTAAGGCTTTGATTACCATACATAAAAATATTGGGTTTAGAAGAGCCATATTTTTTGTATTACTAAATCCTCAACTAAACGGTGCAGGTTTCGCAGGCATGAGAGTTTTAAGTAATTATGACCTTAGTGGATATACGGCGCTCCAAATTTACTGTAGAGGTCAAGGACAATTTAATCGTTTCAAAGTAACTTTACGGCACAAAGGTTTTAATGATGAAACGAATTATTCATTCGAACAATATTTTCAGGTGGGTAAAAGCGTTAATAATTAGGTACACATCGATCCGTTAGTATTTATGAAGTTTTCTGTGCGCTTTAGATTACTTATTAAATTTATTGAATTGGAACTTCGACCTCTCATATCTCAAATTAGATACCGATATTTGGGCTCCGTTAACCATTTAGCACTAGGTGAGACGTGAACTTGTTCACCCACCTAAGAAATAAAAATAGTTTATTGGGCTGAGACAGCAGTCAAATTATAAAATAAAATTGAGCCGTCGACCTCATGTTCCGAGGTATCATGTCGAGATGGAAAGTATTGTAAGCGTCCGGTTCAAATAAACCAGTCCAAAAAAGGTTATAGTGATTGTGATTTCTGATATATTTCTAATTACATACCCGACCCAGACAACTGGGCAAAACATAGTTGACGTCGCCCTAAACACGTTTTTTCGGACCCTACCGATCTACTCTTACTACTTTTGGGCATTCACAGAACCGGTTACCGTTCTCATCGAACTCTTCGAATGTGACGAAGGGTTCAATGCACTTGACCCACAGACACAACCCATTGAATTTCCCACCGGATCTTTTTAGTGGATCGCCCTTCTGATCTTCTAGATCCAGAGATTCAATGAAACACTGTTCTGACTAGGGCAAATGTTAGCAAAGCTCACAGGCTGACCCATCATGAACTCACCTACCTACACACCCGGTGAAGAATAGTCTCTGGAGGGGCTACTGAGAATAGGTAGGCAAAAAAATAAAACTGCTGTGTTTTGACTTCATCAGTCTTGTTGTCGTCTAATCCATTTTACGCTATATCGCGTCGGGAGCGCCGAAATGAATTCTTAAAACATTTCACTCACAAAATAACATTTATTTTTGGTGCAGGCTCCCAAAGATGAATTCGCTGTACGTGATTTAAGATTATCAGAATTCAAGGCCTACTACCGAGGGAAAAAAGTAGTTAATAACGAGACTTTGAATTTATCGCAAATTACCAGCATTGGATTGCAAATGTACGGCGGAGTGTATCAAACAGTGAAACAAAAAGGACCTGCAACTTTAGAAATTGATTGGATTAGAGCGGTTGTACTTTAGTTCTAATTTTCAAATCTGCTGGTCATTAATAATTTAAGTTTTTATAATTTCAAAATTAAAATATTATACTATGTCCTGGCTATTTATTTTAAATTGGTTATTAAATTAATAAGAATAATTAGATGACGACCGAACCAACCTTTTATCTTTTTTCAAACCGGATTTAACGGAACACATAGACATCATAACGTGTATACAAAACTAGAGAATATTGACAAAATTGATGTTCAAAAGGGCATTGTTACACCCGCTGTAAAGCGTAAGCATAGTAGCTTTGGATTACAAATAATCAAGTAGGATTGTGGTACATAAACGTGCGTTCGTGTAACTAACTCTACCACAAGTACTTAAGGAATTGTAATTGGTGAAGACATAGTAGGTGTAGACCAGTGGTCGGCAGCCTTGTCAACCAAGAGCCAAATATAGATAATACACAATTATAATGTATTCAGACCAATTTTTTTAACATTTATCGTGGCCATTGCTAACTACATATCCAACCCAGGCAACGGGGCAAAGCAAAGCCGCCGTCGCTCAAAAGTCTTGTCGGATCCCTCAGATCCACTCGGTGCTTTTAAGCTCTTCAAGCACCGGTTACCGTCCTCCTCGAACTCGTCGACTCCGATGTTGCGAACTAGTCCATAGACACAACCCACTGAGTTTCTCGCCGATCTTCTCAGTGGGTCGCGATTCCGATCCAATAGTGGATTCAGCGAAGCACTTACTAGGGCTAGTGTTGAACCCGTGAGCTCACCTATCGGTCCGCGCGAAGTTGAAATAGCCCCTTAGGCTACCAACGACCAGGTAAGGAAAAAAATAATTAACATTTACTTTTATAGCCTTGTATTTAAAAAATATATATTAGTCTCCTATAAGGTAAAATAAATATTCCGTGCCTGAATTAAACAATTCGCGGAACAGCGGTAACCGAAGAGTCTAAGCGCCACATACGGCTCGCAAGCCGCGGGTTACCGACTAGTGGTTTAGATGAATGTTAATATATTTATTCACGACCAAATGTTCAGAAAATTTTGTATATTATATATTACCACCGTAGCTGTACATCGATGAGGACAGAGTTGCATAGCTGTACCTTCTGATTGCTAGTTGAACAGACAGTTTTAAAAATCCGCCGAGTGATCGCGATCGTATTCGCATAGAAAGTCTTGATTGTAGTTTCGACCGTGACTTTTTGAATTTTAAGAGTTGTGTAAATGAAATATGTTTTTTACCATGCTTATGAAATTTATTGCTAATTTTAGGACGTTAATTAGAAATGATTAACTATCTAATGTAAAATAACAAACAAAAGTCCCTCCTTATTCAAATACATACTTATTTTACAAATAGAATTTGTCTGGTCGAGCTATCGCTGCCTCGAAGGCAATAGTAAGCTGAGTGCAGTCATCGCGTCCGGGAATAAAGAATGATAATTGACGAGCGGCACATATGCCGCCGTAATAACACGACCCGCAAACCATCTTCCGTGCAAACTGTTCACGGAGGCAACGGCCGTCGCTATTGTCGGACACTTGCAGTACACATTTCCCTGAGGCGATGCTTTATCAACATACACATGCAACACTCCACCGTGTTTGTTGCATTCACTGATAACATCATCCCTTATTTCAATATCCCAACTTGGATTTGTTTCCCTGAAAACAAAAAATTCAATTACAGTATGTATAACAAATTAGGTTTTTTTTTACCAACAGATGTTTAAGATTATTCATTCTTGGTTTATCCAGTTTTATTAAGTGTGAGATAATAACATATGCTAAAATGAAACAATATACATACATATATATTTTTTTGTATAATTAGATTGGTGAATGAGACCACGGCCCATCTGATGCTAAGTGGTTAATGAAATGGTTGAATGCACGACTACTTTGTGGTAAAACAGGCAAGATAGGAGGGTGGTGTTTTCTTGGCACACATCACCCTGCCAAAGTTCCATGAAGCTTTTCTTACAAAACAGATGTGTACATTCCTTTTGCCAGTCTAATGGATGAATTAAATTAATAAACACTATATAGGGCTTTTGCAAAAATAAACTTACGTTGCTGGATCAAACATGTTATTGAGCATGAAGCATTGTGTTGCAATAGGAGGTGCAACTTGAGGTTGCGGAGACACTAAAGCTGAACCACTCCCCATTAGTACTGATGCTGCTGCAGGAGGTATCTGCAATGATTATACAAAGCTAGTTAGTGCATTAATTACTTTGTCATATTTTAAATATGAATATCAGTTACGAAATTTAAATTGCTTTAAATTTAATCAAGAATAGTTATATTTTGTATGTATAAAGTTGCAGTAAAATATCTTTACTGTTATTATTTATATCATAATGAATTATGTACTTATTTGCTATAGAAACAAAAATAAACCTTTTTCGATAAGAAGATCACTGGTGATGAAGTGGACTAACTACAACAATTTGCAAAAAAAACATGGTCAAAGGGTAGTCAAGATCTACAGACTATAGTGATGCTGTGTGTATGGTGAAATTGGAAGGTCATTGTTCATTAGTTTTTACTGCCAAGGCATAATCTTCGATTTGTATCTCTACTGCAAATAGTTGATGAGACTAAATCAAGAAAATACAGAAAAAAAACACGATTGCAATCAAACAGCAATCAAATCAAATACAGAAAGGGTGTGGTTTTTGTGATGATGACACCAGACTTGTAAATCTTCAAACAATGCAAATACCGAAATCTAGAATCGATACGAAGTATTTTAGAGAAGCGTCAGAACCCTACTTTGAATAAGCAGCGCGGCACGATAACCCTCTTATCGTGGCCACCGCTTACTACATATCCGACCCATATCCGGCCCTGCCTATTTCTGCCGTGAAGCAGTAATGCGTTTCGGTTTGAAGGGTGCGGTAGCCGTTATAACTATACTGAGACCTTAGAACTTATATCTCAAGGTGGGTGGCGCATTTACGTTGTAGATGTCTATGGGCTCCAGTAACCACTTAACACCAGGTGGGCTGTGAGCTCGTCCACCCATCTAAGCAATAAAAAAAAAAAAAAAAGGCGACCGGACAAAGCAAAGCCGCCGTTGCCCAAAACATATCTTGTCGGATTCCCCGGACCCAATCGGTGCTTTTAGGTTCTTCAAGCACCGGTCACCGTCCTCGTCGAACTCGTAACTCCGACGAAAGGTTCGAACGAACGAACTCGTAACTCCGACGTACGAACTAGCACAAAGACAACCCACTGAGTTTCTCGCCGGATCTTCTCAGTGGGTTGCGATTCCGATCCGGTATTAGATTCGTTTGAATTTGCTAAGACTAGTGTCAGCAATTCTTTCAGGTTGAGCCCGTGAGCTCACCTAGCGGTCCGCGCGAAGTTGGAATAGCCCCCTTGACCACTAACGATTAAGTAGGTAAAAAAAAATTGCAAATATTCAGAGCTTGGTTGACAAGTGTTAATGCATCCACCATATAGCTCTGAACTTATACCCTGCATCTATATAGATTTTGACCTGTTTCAATCTCTTCAGAATGATGTACATAGTGTTAGGCTAACATTAAGAGAAATGGCTGAAGGTCTAAAGTAACAGGATTACATTATTATTGCTAAAATGGCAACAAGTTATAGAACAAAGGGGCACATGTGTTATAATGTAAGTAAACTATGATTTAAAATATCTCGAATTTGTATTTATAATACATCAATAATTTCAAACAAACTTTGGATTTCAGCAATGTGAACTTACTTGTAAGCCTGTTCCCTCTGCTAATTTAAACATTAATTGTAAACGGCCCGTGGCACCAAGGTCAATTCCAGCTCGATCTAACTCATCAGCATCAAACCGCGTGCTTGATCCTCCATCTGCACGTTCTGTGACATTTCCAACTTTCATAGGCCGCCCTGCTAACTCAAAACCATTTAACTGTTCCATAGCCTTCTTAGCATCACTGGCATGGTGAAACTGAAAACATTAAAAATTAGGTTCAAAACTGATGATAAACGCATTAGTTTATTGATAAATTTCTATGATGTACTGAAATGGTAAAAATATGTCTAGATATCTCATCTCTTAAGTATATATTAATTTTTTTGTACTGTTTTCCTACTTACAGTGAGAAATCCATATCCTTTACTTTTACCAGTTTCTGGATCAGTCATTAGTTGAATGTGATCAATTTTTCCGAATGGTTCAAAAATGCCACGTAGCATATCCTCTGTAATATTAAAATGTAAAGACCCAACATAGAGTCTAGTAGGTCCATTACTGGTCTTTGGTGCTAAATTCGGCAATGTATTGCCAACCCTATTTTTTTCGGCTTGCGTGTGCTGTACAATTATAGGAACTCCAAGTAACTTTTGTCCTGTTAAGCCAAGAGCCTGAAAGTAAAATTTTTGAGTCACAAAAAATTATTTGGAAAAAACATTCAAATTGCCTATGCCAAACTTATATGATAATATACTTACCAAAGGCACTGATTCAGCATCTTTGAATTCAATATATGCAATACCTTTGAATCTTCTTGTTTTATTGCAAGTAATAAGTCTTACGTCTCGAACCTTGCCAACTGATGAGAAAAATTCTTCTAAATCTTTAGCTCGGATTCTTTGCGACAATTGCATGCAAAATACAGTTCTTAGATCTCTTTCTTCTGGAGGTAGATCTTCAAGTTTCGGGTCTAGCCCCCTCGACTTTGACCTATATTCTTTTTGTGGTTCTCTTTCAGGAGTTTTTTCTTTTTTATGAACGTTTTTATCGCGACTGCGATCTCTTTCCCGACTTCGGTCCTTGTCGCGGCTACGACGTTTTTCTTTATCTCGTTCTCTTTCTCTCTCGCGGTCTTTATCTTTAACCCGATCTTTGTCGCGATCTCGACGATCTCTGTCTCTGCCTCTTTCTCTGTCTTTTTTATCGTCTCGATCTCTTGAACGACGTGAATCTTTATCCCTTGATCTTCTTTTATCTCTCGATCGACTACGCCTAAAACCAAGAATTATTGTTGATTTTATGCTTTCTAATAATAAAAGTCAAATTTCAAGTAAATATAAAAGTAAATTTCATTCTAATAAGTAAGACTTTGGTAGTTTTTGTACCAAAGTATGACTTAGATTTCGAAGGATGGTTAGGAATTTCAGATTTCGGGATTGATTCTAGTGTTTATACATATTCAAGCTGACACATGTTTTTTATAAAATATGACTTGAATGTTGCACTTGTTTTTGTATTAGTAATAATGGTCTAATTATTATAATTTTGGTTACAGTGCATTACGAACAGATAGTATCGATATATTATTATCTTTGTTGGAGGATTATCTTACAAATTAATTTAGGTTTTATTTTTCAATAGGTGTTTTCTTACCATAACATAGTTTTATAGGTCAGCAGGACTCATTGTACAATGTCAGTATTGAGTGCTATAGTCAAGAAATAATATTATAATCTAAATGGAATTGGGTTAATGTTAATAGGGCCTGCAGGTGAGCCTGTGTTCAAAGATGTTCATCTTGCAGTGTCTATGGGCTCCTGAAATTTCCAATAAGTACCATACCGGAGTCCTTAAGCTTGAAAGATCCCAACAATTTCTTTGTTTCAGAATATACCTTAATTAATCTACGAAGGTGGCACCGACAAGGATATTGTCATGACCTAAAACTGATTTACATGTGGTAGCATGGTAATAAAAACAAAGTACTGACCTTCTTGAACCATCTTTATCCCTTTCTTTGTGCTTATCTGAGTGCTTGTCCGATCGATGCTTTGATGAGGAAGTGTTATCCTGTCACACAAAGCACAAGGTAGAAGCACCGCCACAGCAACACACGCCGAGTGAATAAATAAAACTGCATTAGTAAATTTGTAATAGTTATATGGCAAACATTTGTGGTATTTCAACTATGGCCTTTAATTGTTCAGACATAGATGAAACATCACAAATTGCATTGGTTTACTTGTCCTAGGATGTTTTGATTGTGATGTGTTTGACGTTCATGGCAGTCAGTCGGTAGTCGCTTGGTACCCTAATCTAGACTTACCGTTAAATAAACCACTGACAAAGGGTGCACACTGCGTTAACATCACACAGGGATACTTCTGCAAAAGATTACGACCCATCAGCGCATGGTCTTTTTTTAAATCTGTATTGATTTTGAAACTTTATCTAACATAACTTTAATTTGAACAACAAGTTTACAAATATTAAAACAAAAAATAATTAAGTACAATAGTATGATGGATACCTCTTGTTTGTTCAGGTCGGTGAAGTATGCTGGACTATTACCACAAAGTTCTATAAATACAAGAAATGATTCTCAAATGTAATTTTGTTTACAATAGCTTACCATTGTGTTATTCAGAGATGTGTTTAATTAGAGAAATTTTATGTAAATATTGCACTTTGCTTTGGTTTAATTAATTGTAAGAAAACTGCAAACTTTTTTTTAACAATTTTAATGTTTCTTGTTGTACTTTATTATTTAAAACATAAAAAATTCACATTTTTCTCCAATTAAAAACATCTATGAAAATAATTAATTGGTCTGCTGTAAAAATTACACAAAAATTTGTTTCTTGAGTGTTTTCTATAATTATTTAATAGTTATTACTTTAATATGTGAATAATTCTATCTGACATTCATTACATAATATACTGTGCATACATAATAATATGGGTTTTTTTTAATTAAGAATTATATTCACTCACATTGGTCAGTGTGCTATTTTTCTATAGTTAATTATTTCTGACCATTAAACAAATAACTAACAATTATTAATTTTCTAATAGTTTTATAAGTTCAGTTTTTTCATTTCATGAACAATGTTAAAGATTACTCACCGATTTATTATATGGAGCTTCTAACATTGCCTCAACATCAAAATCTTCCGCCATTCTATAACAATAGGAAAAAACACAATTTAAATTATTATTAATTCACATCACTTCTCATGGATGACATAAAAAGCCACTAAGAGATTCACCAGAGAACGGGCAATAGCATTCTTGCAGCATCATATGTCCTTATTACACAAACAAACTGTCCGTAAGCCTGCACAGTTACATACTACTGCTGATACAACTACCATGGAACATTTTGAAGGCTAGGCCAGCCATACAATATAACTGTTAGTTTGACTTCATGTCTCAAGGTTGATGGTGGCATTGACATTACACGCCTATGGGATCTAATAACAACTTTGCTCCAGGTGGGTCTTGAGCTAGTGTAACCAATTATGTAAAAAAAAAATTTTTTTATTAGTAATAAGTTGTAGTTTAGGCCAAATTCTATAATACATATTGTTGCTAAGCAACTGGTTTACTTGTTTAGGTGGGTAATAAATGGCTATAGCTATGGGTATATGACTGCCTTACTCAAGCCATATTATTACTGCTACTTTCCTTTCAATTGTCTATATTCTGATCTTAGTGTTTAAGTGCATGTTGTGAGGTCTTACAGACTGTTATCACAATATTGCTCTTTCTAGCGATCAAACAATGATCCAGATTAAATAGTCAAAAGCAGTTCTATTAATGCACCCCTTTAAAAAAAATTACCCCTTTTTTAATAATCAACACAAAGATACAGTTTGAACATAATGAATTTTTGCATCACATAATTCTTCTTTAAATAATTTATGTAAATTACTCAGCTCCTAAATATGACACTATTAATGGTTAATAAAAGTTATGTGGCAGTAGTACTCATTGTTGTTGTTATGTTTACATCTGTTAAACTTTATCATTTGAGATTACAAATAAAAGTCAAACTTATTTATCAAAAATATTGGGCTAGTTGAATACAGTAAAATCTATTAGCCCAACATTTACAAAGGGTTATCCAATTAAAAGCACCGAAGCACAAGATAAAATGGACAATGTCCAATGACACTAGTTTTTTCTCAGGTTGATTATGTTCTACTGTCAGTTCAGTAAGATAGGCAGTGAGGCACATATGCCTTTTTGCTTATATACTTTACTGGAAAGCTGGTATCATGAAGTTAGCGTTGAACTTTAATAAGGTATCTAAATAAATAAGTCAAATATTCATCTTTGCATAACAATCTAATTGAAAGAGATGATGTCATGAAGTAGTTTTCCATCACTACAACAAGTGGCAATTTATTTTTATTTTTTAAAAAGTACTAGTTACCTTTTCACTTTGTTTCAGGGTCAGACTATGTGGAAAAATAGGTTTCAAACTCAAAAGCCTCTGTCTTGTTAAATGTCAGGTTAGTTAATCTTTAAAATAAAATAAAATGGTTGAGTGGCCTTGAGCAGGAAAATATGGTGGGACATCACGAAGCGTATCAAATTTCCCCCCTTCAATACAACATAATTTTCACGCCTAGAGTAAAGTCAAAAGTGAAATGAGTAAGAGTGGCATAGTTTGAAATCGGCACCCTGGCTTAACGACTAAAAAACTATCTCGTAAGTCATTGAATCATCAAAACTAGTCTAAACATAAGATCATTTTAATTAATAATTTATAATTGTTGACAGCAACTTTATCCACTAATAGTGAATGGTAAGTGCAATGAGTTTACACAATATAATTTATTGTTACTAGGGATTTCTTCCTACATGACGTAGATATTATAAGAAAAATGATATGTAGGGGTAGGTTATGGTGACAATTGAGATGAAATAGATTTATTTTGGATAATTGCTTATAGTTTCATAGACATTTGATACATCCTGCGGCATTAGGAAGTGTAGTTTAAAATAATAATGTGGTGATATTTTAAACAAAATGGCGTAGCATCACATTGCGCTTTAGTGTTATTTTTCAAAAGTAAAAATTGCGTGGTGTTAAGGTCAAGTTAAAGGATATAAACTTACTTTTAAGTCGTATTAAATTTGCAGAACTCTTTCTTTAATTTTTCGGTCTTTAAAACTTTATTTTTGAATAAAGTTCAATAAAATTCCTGTAGCGTTGGCTTCGGCATCAAAGTACCAAACCGAGAACCATAGATAAGATAAATACCAAAAAGTAAAGAGGTTTTGGTAGACTTATTCGATTTAATAGGCAAAAGGAAACCGAAACAAAGTTACTTCTACATAAAGCACAGTTATTATTGTTGTTAAACAATAGTACATTGTGCACCAAGGGAGAAAAGTTGGACATTTCTTCCCGCGTGTAAAATTGCATTGGCAAACATGCGGGATGAGATGTCCTACTTTTTTCCCGGGGTGTACATACAATTTTTTTCCCACCAGGCTGAAAGTTCGACATTGTAAAAAACTTAGCACCCGTAGAGTACCAAGCTGGAGTCCAGGGGCGAAGCTCTGGCAGGGGGTTGGGGGGGTGGTGCCCCCCCACTCGTAAAAAAAACATTTTAACTGTTTTTTAATTTTTAAATAAACTACTACTAATTGAATAAGAACTGTCTGATGAACTCATCTTTGTTTAATACTTCACTATTGAATTTTAATGCCTTTGTTTATTTTATTTTTACACTAAACAAAATATTGCAAATTATCCGAGCATAACAATGGCGGAGAATTTTAGGTGCGTGAGAGCAGACGTAGACACTAAGGCGCATACGCACTTGTCAGTACCCAGGGAGAAAAAGTTAGACTTTCTTCCCTGTACAGCGGGACGAAAACCGAACTTTCGGCGTAGGTAGGAGAAAAACATTTAATCATGGAGATTTCAACATTATTTGACTTAAATTTGTTTACTACTTAATATAAAATTATCACATTCTCTGCTTCCTACTTTCCTATAATGATTTAATTTTTGTATAATTGATTGACAGCGTACCATGCTAAATACTAATCTGCTTTTGATATTAATTAGCGTTTCCATGTAGTTGAGGCATAATTCAGAAGCACAGTAATTGTTTCGACATTTAGCCCGACTGTATTTCAGTCTTGGCATCTCTTTCCAAACACACAATGTTGATATAATAAATGAAAGCTTACAATTTATTTATCCTTGTAATAACGCAATTTAAATGCTCTGGATTATCCTTACATCTAGAATATCAAGCCGTTTATGTTTAGGTCCGTAGATCAAAACAGTCTTGGATGTCTTGGAGAGTTGTAAATATTGATTCACAATTAATGAAATTCGTCCCTTACGAACATGTTGAAAGGCAACGGTCGAGGCAAGAATCTCGTGAGACTTCTACTAAAACTCCTGTACAAAGCTATGTCGCTCGACCATTACCCCTTAACTTTTGTATGAAACATAGCGTGTGAAACATTTACGTATAATTTTATTTAAGCACTTAGAACTATAAAATATCAAGAAAAAAAGCTTTTAAGCTATTACATAGCTTTTATCGCGGGTTTTGAGCACGGCAACCGAACCAAGAAATTCCGTAACGAAAATAAAACCTAACAACCTCCACTCTGCCACCATGTAGTTCGCGTTCACACATTCACATGTTGGGCTTGTGTCGTGTTTGTGAATAAGCGCGCGGGCGGCGTGACGTCGCACTGCATGCGCGTCATGAAAAGTCTGCCCATCTCTTTCTTGCTCTCACTAAAATACGAATCAATTCAAATACATATCCACAGATTTTTCTTTGGATATGTATTTGAATTGATCAGTGTTCCTTCGGAGTCGTCCGATTGCGTTGAACTTATTTTAAGTGAAATAGATGTTTTTTCTGATTGTCTCACTACTTACAGGAAAAATCTGTCGCGGATCATCTCCCAATTAAATTAATCATAAGCAATGAATGAAATGTATTCAAATCTTAGCTGTATATTCTTTTTTATTTTTGATGTTAATGCACTGTCGATTGCACCTATAATTGAGGTGACATCAGCCATGAACTTTTGTCAATTTGTCAATGTTTTGTATTGATGATCACTTTGTTGGTGCAACTTAATAAATAAATAATAAATAATAATAATAAATAATATGCAATGAACATTTCATTTGTTTCACAATAAAGCTCATTTCAATCAGCTCTATTTGTCTTTTTGGCTTTTGTGAAAATAGCTGTATGAACTATGTTCCCTTGGCCTATCAAATTAACGAAATCTGAGTAAATTCATTTTAATCTGCTGCTCATAGATTTAATAGATTATTAAATTCGATTCTGCTTATATACACAAGTCTGTGAATGATGTTATTAAATTCAATGTTTTAAGTTGTCTTAATTTGAACTCACTTAAATCGAGAAAGAGATAATTAATAGGTAGTACTTGATACCAATTTCTGTAAAAAACCACTCTGCAATAAAAGTACTGTTGCATGTTTACAAACCTACCTACTGTTATGCTAAATGTCTCTGACATCATCTAGAGTTTTTTGAATGTATACAAGCGCAATAGCAAGACATAAAATCACCGTTCATCAAGTCAGCACCAGCGTTCATTATGACTACAGCTGCTAGACCCACTTTTGATCCTGCAAGAGGTGGTCAAGGCCGAGGAGAGAAAGACTTAAGTGCTATTTCTCGACAGTATTCCAGCAGAGATCTTCCTGGTCATACGAAACTTAAATACAGGTTAGTTTAGTTTTATTTCTCGATCTAAATTTGGATTCCTATTCGCGAAGTTGGACTTACGACCCGCGTGGTGGTAAGTGCTTAACGGACCTCATAAAAAGCCATCTTGAGACAAGGTAGAGTACTTGAATTATTGTTTTAGAAAATACGCTACCCTTCAAAACCACAATGTATAACTCGTTCAAAGCATAAAAACCACGTTTGTAATGCACCAAAATGTAAAGAAAAAGTCAAATATTAAAATCTATTTTAATAGGGAATCAGGTCAAGGGACATCTGAGGAATTACGCTCTCGTGATTTTCGTAAGGAGTTGGATGATAGAGAAAAAGATATTAAAACTACTACTACAAAACGTACAAGTGAACCACAAGCAAAAAGAACTAAGGTTGATCAAGTTCCTGCAGCAAGTCTTGATGCTGATGATCCTCTTGAAGGCGATTCCACTGACTCTGATGATTCAGATGATGATACTGCTGCATTGCTAGCAGAATTAAACAGAATTAAAAAGGAAAGGGCCATTGAACAAGCTAAAAAAGTAAGATATATCTTAGATACTAGAGTTAGATACTATACTATAAGACTATTTTTGTACTGATGTACACAAAGTATGTTTAAATTAAATTTTACAATATATTTTTTTTTTAATTTGTCTAACTTTAGTGTATTTTGATACCCAAACTAAATAAAATGCAAATAACAAATAAACCTTGTTGTACAAATCAATTTTGTTTTACCTTATAGGAAGCTGAAAAGAAACAAGAAGAGGAAAGAATTAGAATGGAGAACATATTATCGGGTAATCCTTTACTCAACTACTCCGCTGCAGGACAGAAGAATGACATGAAGGTAATTAAAAACATTAAAATGAATTTTGTTTTAACTCCTGATAACTGTTTGGTGATTGAACTGAACTGCAGATGTCATTGATGTTGTATTTATCAATGTTGAAGTCATTGTGCCCTAAAAGATAAAGACTCCTGGTACATTTGTATAAAGCTATGTGACTGTGCCGGTGCTCTCATTCTGCAGACAGGTACCAATGGTAATGAAATATATACTTAACGTAAATTGACAAATGATTTCCATCATGAACAAATAGTTTTTAATAAAGATCGAACCCACCAAAATTATAATTTGCTTAATGAATGGCAGTAGAATGGGGTAGTAATCTGTTTTCGTTTGGTATAAAATCTGATATTTAGAACTCATGTCTCATAGTGGGTGACGACATTTAAGATGTCGATTTCTATGCTTCTTTTAATTGGCATTTCTTGTTATGCTGGTGTTTTGTTTTTGTTATTTTATTATTCCATAGTAACGGGATATTATCTGTGTTTCACTTTTCTTATCGCATATTTATGTGTTTGTATGTGTTGTATGTATGTTATTTCTATTCTGGTACACTATGGTACTTTTCAAATCTGTTTCAAGATATTATTTTTCATTCTTCCAAGAATGTCTAGCATTGTCTTTTTGGTGTTAAGTGGTTATAAACTTGGGTCTCACTTAGATTATAATTATTCAGAGCCTTTGTTGTGTATTGGTATTTTAGATATCCTTCCCATATGATAATAATATGATGTGTATTGAAACATGTGCAAATAATATTCAATCAGTATCTGTTTTGATATCTCATTGGTGAAGTATACTGACAACTACCAGATAACCCTTTTATACCAGGTTGGCTATAAGTTTGTTCACCTATCTATGCTATAAAAATAACTGTTAAAATGTATTGTTGCTATTGCTTTTGGTTTACTTGTATTTGAATCAATATCATTGATACTCAACAGGGAATACTTTAATAATGCACAAAAATTGTATTTTTCCTTTCATTATGCATATGTAGTGGCAGATATTGAGGACTCAAGACTATTAAATAATTTAATTTAGACTTTAGTTGATTCATTATTTTACATTCTCGGTTCTATAAACACTGGTTGCTGTTTTGACACCACATGGTCTGTGATTTTGTACACCCACTAATAAATACCACACAAAAATGCAAAAGTAATTGAAAGTGATTTTAAGAACATCTAACATAATCTTCTCAAGCATTGGATGAATCCGTTATTGGAACGCCCAGAGGCACCACTCAGCACAACTCGTCATTAGGCCTCTACATGATATCATTAGAGAGAGACTGAGTTATGAGAGTTCAATTCAAATTCAATTCAAAATCATTTATTTCAACTTAGATGTCAGTATGACACACTTGTTGAATGTCAAAATACAAATAATAATGTTAACTCTACCACCGGTTCCAAAAAAAGCCACAGTCCTGAGAAGAACCGGCGAAACAAATACAGCGGGCTTTTTTTTTTTTTTTTTTTTCTCAAATATTTTCTTTTTTTAAATAAATAAAAATACTTACAATAAAAGAAAAAACAAATTACAATAAAATAAATAAATAATAATAATGAAAAACGAAAGTCACAACCTTCATCTATGAGGATCGATTAAGAAGAATTTAAGAAGTCGTCGTGGCCTAAAGGATAACACGTCCGGTGCATTCATTGAGCGATGCACCGGTGTTCGAATCCCAGGCGGGTACCAATTTTTCTAATGAAATACGTACTCAACAAATGTTCTCGATTGACTTCCACGGTGAAGGAATAACATCGTGTAATAAAAATCAAACCTGCAAATTTTAATTTGCGTAACGACTTGTGGTAGTATCTCTTGTGAGTACGCGCGGGTAGGTACCATCCCCTAGCCTATTTCTGCCGTGAAGCAGTAATGCATTCCGGTTTGAAGGGCGGGGCAGCCGTTGTAACTATACTTGAGACCTGAGAAGTTATATCTCAAGGTGGGTGACGCATTTACGTCGTAGATGTCTATGGGCTGCAATAACAACTTAACACCAGGCGGGTTGTGAGCTCGTCCACCCATTTATGCAATAAGAAAAAAGGACAATCGTAATATTATATCTATTTTTTTTTTTGGGTTGTTCCAGGTAAAAAGAAGATGGGACGATGACGTTGTTTTCAAAAATTGCGCTCGTTCTGAACCGGAAAAGAAACTTAATACTTTTATAAATGACTCATTAAGATCAGAGTTCCATAAGAAATTTATGGAAAAGTACGTGAAATAGTAAATCATTATTGATATTGTAATTCTAAATTTAAAGTTGTTAAAAGCGATTCTGTACTCTATTGTAAGCGGAATAGTGATAACGAAGTGGAAATGCTACTATGGATATCACAAACACGCAAAGAAAAGATTGACGAAAACCAATATAATTTTAGTAAATATTGTGAAAAATACGTCATTTTGTTGTTTTGAATAAATTATATGAAAACAAATAGTATTTTATAAAGTTTATTTTCAAATTAATGTCACGTTACTGATAAAAAGTAATGTTTGTTTCCTCAACAACAGATAGAGGTCAGTTCATTAGCATAATGTGTCTAATTTACCCATATAACAACGAACATTGCTTTCGGGTTCGAAATTTGACTCAGCTTCTGAGTTTCAGTGGTAAAAATCTTGGCAGTTGGGGTATCCACACTAAATTAGGGAAAGTATTAAAGAGATTAATTTACAAAAAATTCAAACTTACTGCCCCGATTTGATAATGTATGGATCAATACGCCACCCGTTAAAGTACATAACTGCATTGTTAATGGTAGTAATAAATAATTATTAAATTAACTTATTAACATTCGGAGTTCGGACTGACCAGACTGACGTGTCCGGCGAAGTTGAATGTTTTTATTATTGCGGCGTTGTGAGTGAGGCGTGAGAGGGGAGGCAGTGGTAAGTGCGGAGCAGGCGGCGGCGGCCTACCTTGAGTGGGCAGGTCCACAGCTAGATCCCGCGGCTGGCCATGACGCGTCTCACATCTCGTTAACTCGCCACTAGCCAGTCGCAGACGCTCTCACAACGAATATGGCTGGTTTTGTGCAGTTGGTGTGTGCGTGTTTTGCATTGTTTACTGTGGTCACCGATGCCATACTTTCCGGACTTTACATTGACAATGGTGTTGATCAGACGATAATTCATCATACGATTACGCGACACGAGCGCATGGTAGTAGAACATGAAATTTTAGATCTTTTAGGCTTAGGAGAAAGACCCAGAAGATCTAAATCTCCACCTTTGGATCGTTCGGCTCCAAGTTTCCTGTTGGACGTTTATAAGCAACTGGCTGAGGAGCACGAACAGGCACGCCCTACACGTAGTTCTGACATGGCTCTCAGCGGTGATGAGCAGCAAGCTATTGATGAAAGTGATTTAATTATGACTTTTCAAAGCAAAAGTAAGTTATTTTTTGTTTTCATTGCTATTTTATGTTACTTAATATTTGTTTTCACTATATTAACAAAATACGTACCTATGTGAACATAATACTATGCAATGGTTTATTTACCTTTTTTTAAATTTATTTGCCATGCCGAGCCGCCCTAGCAGTACTTACTTCGAATTGCATAGTTCGTAAAATTATTAGAAACCCACGTTAAGTATCAGCAATAAAACTATATTAATGAATCTTAACAAATTTCCAGATATTAAAATCATATTGTTATTTTATCTAGTGTATATATTAATGCCACATAAATGTACTCGTAAAAAAATAATTAAAGATCGTGTATTTCTAAGAACAGTTCACCTGTTTATAGCATAGATCATACAGAATAACTAATTATTACCGTTTAAAAAAATTCAAATACAGGTCTAAAAACGGCGCGAGTTTTCTTTAATGTTCCGTAAATTATTATTATTGTATTGTCGAGACCAGTGACTCAATGTCTTACTACCTGGCTACATACCTCATGGAATTCGAACTATGTAAATGTGATTTTTAGGGTTCGGTAGTGGAAAAATGGCAAATGACTGAACCTTTATAATTTCGTTCGATCTTTTTTACTAGATAGATATCTGTTGGCCGTATAAAGATTAAATTTGAAAGATATTTACCTTATAAATTTAAAGTCATTTCAATATATTTATATTTTAATATATTCATGTTTATTACGTGAATGTTACAATGTATAATGATGTATTAAAATTCTACAAAATAGTAGAAATACAAGTAAGCGAAGATAGTGTAGTGCAAATAATCGTACATCCGGTAATATTATCGATAACATTTAAAAATGAAACAGGGCTTTCATTCAGGAGTTTTTATTTAGAAATTAAAAATTCTTGTTTGTTATAAATATATCGACCTTTTTGGGGTCTGGGATATTTTTGACTACAGATGTTGATAGAGAGAATTTTCTAATTATAATTAAAATATTTTTATTTAGAATAGTTTACGTCTCGTTTTAAACCCGAACATTCATCCCGCGCGCGGAACCCTTCACTATGCTTTAACCGTACTAGCTCGCTTTTTTTATTATATAGCGTGGATGGACTGACGAACTCGCAGATCACTTGGTATGCCCATAACTACATACATAAACATACATAAATTGTCAAAACTCTTGGGTACCACGAAGTAAAGCCATAATGTAATTAAGAGGTAAGTAAGATTGAAGTTTCAATTGAATTAATACATTCGTGGATCTTCATTTTCTTCAGAAATAGGCAGGATGGCGTTGGCCTGACAACACAAAGCACTCCATGGTGTTTTCTAAGTGCTATACCAAAATTTTTTTGAAGCTAAATCAGCCACTTAAAATGAATTGGATGCTGTTTCATCCTCAAAACCGCAACCAAATGTTTTATTTTTCGGCCTTCCAAACCAAATTCTTATTTTACTTGATAATTTATTTCGTAATGAAAGTTGAAGGTCATCCTGAAGAAGGATAACTGTCACCTACCTCTAAAATTTAGCTACCCAGTAATGTAATACCTACCAAGTAATAATTTCCTGAATGTCTATTGAATGTCCAAAATTAACTCCCATCTGGACATGATTTTTGGGTAGACTACATATCAGGTATAATACTTAACAAATACTTTAACATTGTATTTTATTCGCTTTTCTCCGAGAGCTTACATAAATTTTTTTTACAGAAACAATTTAAATCACAAGAAAAGCAATAATACATGAATATTGTTTGCTTCCAACTGAAAAAAAATGAAACATGTCCAAAAAGTTTATTCTTCAGTCTTAACAATTTTATCAGGAAGTTCTGTTTTATAGTGTACAGTTTTATAGTTTTGTTATTATTTTATATATTGGTTCATAATTAGAAAAATATCGAACAGATTCGCCATGCTCCATAATGACTTATTTAAAAATATATAAAAAACTGGTGTCTAGTAATAGTTATTAAATACACGGCAACGCGCTTGCGTTAAATCCTCTAATACTGAACAGCGCGTGCAGACAGAATTGATAAACATTCCAGGAACTACAATTTCAATGTACCTAAATTAAATTCAAGAAATAAATATTTTATGTTTCCTTTTGAACCATTGTAGAATCATTTTGATAATCATACTAACTATACATTTTAAAAATTACAGTATTTGCCTATAGAAAATTATGATAATATAAATAAAAATAGCATATTTTGTGTTAATTACAATAATTTTATGTTATTACTTACTTCTATAACAACTTTATGCACACGTTCACGCTTATTGATTTCTTAAGTTATTTGATCTGGATTGACACTGGTTTGCCTATAACCGTTTGCGGTATAATATTACTTTTATGTTACTGAGCATTGTAGGTAATCAATAAGAGGTAATTTATTTCTATTTATAAACTTTATGCCAAATAAATTAATCCGGTATACAACACTACAATACTAGAAGTACGTGAACGAATATTGTGAACTTATTTAACAATTAGAATTTAGGTATTGTAAGTAAATTAAATGAATGAATGAATTAATTAATTTGTTTCGAGATGCTGTAAAAACGCCGACAAATATTAAAAACGTATAAAATTATTAAAATAGCATTAGTGCATAACAAACATAAATTTAGCTATTCGACTGATTCTGTGCATATACTAAACGTAGTTTATATTTATTCTATGTAATTAAACTATTTCTGAGAAAATGGTCTGAAGTGCTGAAAAGATAGATAGACAGCAGACGAATAGTAAAGCTATCTTATAGACTACTGTTTTTTTTCCTTTTGAAGTCCTAAGAAAGCCGACTTAACCTAATAGGTGAATGGCTCTAATAAAGAATAAAAAAAAAGTCCTAAGAACAGGTTGATGTTATATTTTATTTGGATATTAACAACCGGTCAGCTCATAGTTGAAACTATTGTCCCGATTTATTTCGTGGTCTGCGTTGTCTGCGCTGATTGACGAACTTTTTCCTAAAAACGTAGGTAGCGGTAGGCAGCGGCTTGGCATTTCTGAAGTCCATAGGCGACGGTAACTACTCACTATCAGGTGGACCGAATGTATGCCCGTCTGCCTACAGGGGCCTAAAAAAAAACTTTTTCCTAAAAGAGGTTTATTTGTGAATTCAAACTATTACTTATGTGAATAAACTTAATTTCTAAAAAAATCTACTTTCACTGTTAATCTTCGAAAAGGATAAAAAAAATCCTATCTAAGTTGGTAGCCTTGGTAAGCTCTGCCAGCCTAACCGAGTGAGTAGGTGAGCTCTAACCCACGGGCGTTGCTAACACTAAACCCTAGTAAGAGTAGTGCTTTGCAGAATCTACCACCGGATCGGAAACGCGACCCACTGAGAATATCCGGCGGGAAACCCAGTGGGCTGTGTCTATAGGTTAGAATTACTCGCCGAACCCTTCGTCGCAAGCGACGGGTTCGACGAGAACTGTGACCGGTGCTTGAGGTACCTAAAAGCATCAATAGTGGATCGAGAGGATCCGAATAATTATTGCTACTAGATGATCTTTCAAATTGACGAAATATAAACAGTAATAAAATTAATAAAAACGAGTAAACTCCGACCGCTGCTTCAAGTAATTAAATAAAAATATGAATATTTACGCACACGTGCATCGTGTATCGAATTACAGCTGAACACCTGGCACGAAATTTGATTTTAGTGTGAATAAAAATCACCAAGCATTTAGTATGTAGGTAGTTAAATTATTAGCTAAGATATGTATAAAAAGATGTAAGCCACAAATCCCATTGTAAGTTTATGAGTACATCCTATTCATATATTGTTTAAATTATATTCATTATAATATTAAACGACTTTTAAAAATAAATGTCAAGTTGTTTTGATGTCAATTTTATAACTTTATTGCGACTCCGACTACGAACTACAGCTGCTACTACATGACCGCGTTATTTATTCGTTTTAGTATTATAGTGTTCTTATTTTATTTTCTATTAGTATTATTTCACGTCAGTTTCGGCACAGGAATTGGACGTTCGGGTAGATAAAAGAAACGGTGGGCTTGTCTTGTCAGTTATTTTCTGCCAATTTCTGCTGCGTACCTATCACGTCTTCTGGGCTAAGGGGTGAAAGAGTCGTCATATCCATTTCTAATATAACTGAGATTTCGGCCTAATGTTTCAAGCTGGGCGACGGCGTTCGCGTTGTGGCGTCTGCGCGCTGATTGTCGCATTACATAAGGTGGTACATGATCTTATATAAGCTATCCTTGAGAAAACAAAAAAGTTACCCGTGAATTGAATTGCTTCCTATTAAGTATTTGAAAGATTTGTATACATGAATATTTACCTAATTAATGAATGTCGATCTAAATTATCTTACAAATAAGTATCTTAAGATCTCTGTCATACATTTTGTTGCTGATAGCTCAGACAAAGTCTGAAAATTTATAGGCCAGGTGACGAAGCATTCCCTTAAAAATAGCAAACTGATATATTTTTTTAACTTTAATACATTTTTTCACACAGGACATCACCTGGGTGTTTTACGTCATGGTCACGGCAGGCACATTTGGTTCGAAGTGGCTGGTACTCCAGGGGATGCTTCATCCCTGCTTGCGGCGGAATTGAGGCTGCATAAGTCTTCGTCACATACGGAAGACCCTACAAGCCTTTATACTGTTATCGCACATCGGGTGATTAATGTCGATAATTTGGGGTTAGTAACTTTCAGTATTATGTATATTTCAGTATATATTGTGTGAAAGTGGTGTACAATCTACGGTAACATGTAATTACTGTATTATAATTGGCAAAATTCATTCTTATTTTCAAAGTATTTTCTTCGGTTTTTGGTAGTCGTAAGCATGATTAAAACTAGTTTTATGGGTTAATGTCGCGTTTTTTATTGTTATTATATTAATAACGACGTTTCGAAAACCATACAGTCACGGACGACGAACCCTAAAAATATAATAGTTTTATATTTTTTAAAGATTTGTACGATTAGTAAAGGCACATTGGATAGGAATATTAATACATTTTATATACAAAAGTTATAATATATAATGTTGTACACAATCTACGTATGATTTAAAAAAGCATACCATTAACTTAGCTTTTAAACTAAGTCGCTATTGTGGCGGGTAGCCATCATACAACGCAAGACAATTGACAGAAGCCTGAAACTCGCTTACGACATTTTCAAGATAAAGCGCATATATACAAGTTCCGAACAACAACATTTGGACCGTCGGTCTACCGAGCAATATCACCCGCTCGGTGGAAGATCTTCCCTTTATCGTTAAGCCTCCCAAACTATCAACTACTTTATTTTAAAGAGAAGCATAAAAATTACGTCCATGCAAAATATTTTCTCGTGGTATCTCTTTTATATTTTGAAATGAAATTGCTATAATATAATATTGTTTTCATCTAACAGGTTTCGAAGTTTTTTTGCTTTATAAAGTAATTTTGAGAGTCAATCATGGGAAATACCTATCCTTTGAATTGTATCGTGTATATTTTTTATCGTTATCACCAATATTAAATCGATCTATCAATATAAAATACGTCATTATTATTCTAATTATCAAAATCTTAATAAAAACACTGTCTGAACAAAATAGTGTATTAAAACAACAAGAATCTCACGTGAATATTTATTGTATTTTCTCAATTTCGGTGTCAATAGTTATACGAGTATGTTATTCCTGTGATATAATGAGCGGAATTACTGTAATAGCATTACACAGCTCGATGCCTACATTGCATCGAGCTAAATGCAATTTTGGAAAGTCCATATGCTTGGAGTCGAATGTTTGTGTACCGAGCTATTAATAGGTATAATGAAACCATTGTTGTTTGTGGCAGAAAACGATTCACAAGCTCACAAAACATTCCTATTTCAAAGGCAGTCAAAGGAGTCAACGAAATAATCCGATAGTCATCCGAAACCAAATGATTTTCTCTTCAGAAATGGAATAAGCATATAGCGTAATTCAAAAGTAGATTCAGGACTTATAGCTTTTAAGATATATACCTACCGGTTATTGCTTAATAGTTTTTAATAGTTTTAGTTTTACTGGTGGTAGGACCACTTGTGAGTTCGCGCGGATAGGTACCACCGCCCTGCCTATTTCTGCCGTGAAGCAATAATGCGTTTCGGTTTGAAGGGTGGGGCAGCCGTTGTAACTATACTGAGACTTTAGAACTTGTATCTCAAGGTGGGTGGTGCGTCTACGTTGTAGATGTCTATGGGCTCCAGTAACCACTTAATACCAGGTGGGCTGTGAGCTCGTCCACCCATCTAAGCAATAAAAAATAATAATAATAATAATAACTAACTGATGATAGAAAATAGGTTGTTAAAATCAAAGCAACTTAAGCAATACGAACAATTATACTCACTGACGATGACTGATTACTGAATAAATGTTCTTTGTTATAATATAAAATCGTTACACCATTTCAGAGGATTAGAACTAAAGCAGGTGGCTGCAGTGAACACCAGTGCCGGGGCTGAAGGATGGCTAGAATTAAACGTAACTAGTGCATTGGCAGCATGGCTTACTTCACCAGCTGATAACCGAGGCTTCTTCATTACTGCACATCCCCATTCACAACCCGGTAAGCCTTTTTATTATATAAAATGGGTGATCGAGATTACGGTAGTTCACGGTTAATGGGACTTATGGATATTACAGCGTGAAGCCGCACCAATCTTGAGAGAACCAGGTCGGAAATTTAATTGTTTTTAAATCAGAACGCATGACTGCATCTCGGCACGAATAAGCAGTATCCATTTTATCCTGTCTTCAAGAATGGTAGAGTATTTTGGGAACGGATAGGCGTCATTCTTGTTTCGGACGAGAAGCGGTCACTCCTCGGGAAAAACAGCCATTACTCCTGTACTGAGCTTCGACTTAATATATCATAGTGTCCTGTGGTATTCATGGGATAATTAGTAACAATGACTCCAATTACCGTAGGAGGTGGGTCTTCTGCATCTGAGTAATTCCTAACTAAAAACATAATAACTTACTTAAATAACGTAAAGTGACCTTTATGAGCCTTTTGAAGTCGTCGTGGCCTAACGGATAAGACGTCCGGTGCATTCGTGTTGAGCGATGCATCGGTGTTCGAATCCCGCGGGCGGGTACCAATTTTTCTAATGAAATACGTACTCAACAAATGTTCACGATTGACTTCCACGGTGAAGGAATAACATCGTGTAATAAAAATCAAACCCGCAAAATTATAATTTGCGTAATTACTGGTGGTAGGACCTCTTGTGAGTCCGCGCGGGTAGGTACCACCACTCTGCCTATTTCTGCCGTGAAGCAGTAATGCGTTTCGGTTTGAAGGGTGGGGCAGCCGTTGTAACTATACTTGAGACCTTAGAACTTATATCTCAAGGTGGGTGGCGCATTTACGTTGTAGATGTCTATGGGCTCCAGTAACCACTTAACACCAGGTGGGCTGTGAGCTCGTCCACCCATCTATTGACAATTATTTTGAACACGAAAACAAATAAAAGCATCGAGACTGGTAAAAGATGCAATTATAATGGTATTTTTATTAAGTTATTCATTATTAATTAAATAAAAATACAGAGGACAAAGGGTATAAAGTAAGAATTCCTGCACACATTTTGTTTTGATATTTGATTACACACTATGATCAACGATGTTTGTGTGGTTACACTTAAAATTATTGTAATTTCAGAACGCCACATCAAGCCTGAAGAAATCGGTCTCGAAGAGCCGCGAGGTGTTACCACAGAAGGCAGACAACCGTTCTTAGTGGCATTCTTTAAAAGTGGCCCAAATTTAGGCAGTACAGATTTGGGAACGAGACGAAAACGCGAGGCGAGACGTTTGCGAAATCACAGTTACTCGGAGAACTATGTAAAAAATCCTTTAGCTGGTATGTTGAAAATATGAATGTGTTTGAAATTTCAATCTAACCCCCATATTTCAAAGCTAAAGATAACGTTATAAGTTTGATAAACTTAGGTAGATGACTCTGTACTGAAACGTCACAAGTATGAGTAAAAAAATTAGCAATGAACCTTAAAATGACAATTAAGAAGTTTTACAACTGGCTGTCTTCGGTTTTAAATATAGAAAATGGGAACAACGGCTAGAAAGCAAATAAGATAACCTGGTTGGTCTAGTCTTCTAGTCATTAGTAGCTTTGACTACTGTGGCGTCAGGACTAGTTTGATGTCGGCTGGGCTTTGTTTATTCTTGGCTCGTATATGTGTATTTTTGGTAACCATAACAAAAGCGGATAAGTTTAAAGTGGAATTTAAAAAAAATGGTGCGCTTGGAACTTGGTGCACGTGAAAGAAGTGTAACTTCTTTTGCGGTGTGTAGTATTGTGGTTTTCTTCATTTTTCATCCTTAAATCAAATTTCTCTTGTAATAGGGAATGTTGTGTATAAGAGAAACAACCTAGCTCGCTTTCTCCCTACCTCCAAGGTCGAGTGGTTCGCGAGACGCTCTGTCTATTTTCTCACTCTCGCTCGTTCTAAATTGTATTTTTCTCTCTGGCCGTAACGTATCTGTCGCGAGTAAAATTTTATTCTCAACGCGCCTTTAAAGAAGTTTCATTTCAAACATCATCAGAAACCAGATACATAAAGTATATGGTTTTTTTCCTTCTTCTTCTCCTCCTTCTTCTCCTCCTTCTCCTGCGACTGATGTTAATAGATGGCTTGATTAAGTTTCCTAAATGCATTGGTGTATTATTGTACATTTTTATTTTAATTAATTATACATATTGTGGTACTGAAATAATGTATGAATTTTTCATATTTTTAAAGGATTATGTGTAATTTTGTACACAGATACAGCGCATTGGACTACAAGAAGCTGTCAAATTCAAACGTTATATGTTAGCTTCAAAGATCTGGAGTGGCAGGTAAAAATTAATTCATTGTATTATATGTATAATTTCCGACGTTTCGAACACTTTAAAGTTTGAATAAGATGACCACGTCCGTGATGACCACGATAACTGAAAATGCGAGCTTTAATCAGTAAGAGTAGTTTTAATTGAAGAACAACTATTAAAAAAAATTCAACAAAAAACTAGAAAATAAATTTTAATAAATTGAAATTGAAAATATGTAGTGTTAAAATTTATTTTCAATGTTTTTGTTGAATTTTATATAGAGCGTATTTTTTAAGGTTTTCAAACTATTATTTATTTTTCATTTTTTAGTTGAATTTAAATTTTTTCAATATTTTTTTTCAATTTCTTTTTAATATTCAATTGTCATCAGTCCTCGATAAATCTACAAAGTTTGAATGAAATCTGGCCGTTTAAAGTGGGTCAAAATCACGTCTAAAGGAGTCAGTTACAAACTTACAAACATACATACAAGTGAAGCTAATATAAAGAGTGTAAAAACGAATCAATGTGCCAGCTTAAAGCGCTAAATTCTATTCGATAGACTCGCATTCTCTCGGCGGCCGGATATTTTGTGTTAAACGTGCCTGGCTATTAAGTTTTTTACTATAAGAGTAAGAGAACTATAAAGAGTTTTACCTTCAGGATTGGATCATAGCACCGGACGGCTATGGGGCTTTTTATTGTAGCGGCGAATGTAATTTCCCATTGAACGCTCACAAAAACGCTACCAATCACGCCATAGTCCAGACTTTAGTACATCTGATAAATCCTACAACGGTGAGTACATTTTATTGATAAAATAAAAGAAAGCTATTTTTTTCAATTAAGTTTTGTTCCGATAGTTTTAGTTGTTTGATGTGTTGGACGGTTTCAAATACAATAATAATAATTCTAACAATTCTGTCACGTTTACAAATATGTATTTGTCCACAACATTACATTTAAAAAAAAATATAATATTTTTTTTTATTACTTAGTTGCGTGGACGAGCTCACAGCCCTCCTGGTGCTAAGTGGTTACTGGAGCCCATAGACATCTACAGCGTAGACGCGCCACCCACCTTGAGATACAAGTTCTAAAGTCTCAGTATAGTTACAACGGCTGCCCCACCCTTCAAACCGAAACGCATTACTGCTTCACGGCAGAAATAGGCAAGGCGGTGATGCCTATCTGCGCGGACTCACAAGTGGTCCTACCACCAGTAATTACGCAAATTATAATTTTGCGGGTTTGATTTTTATTACACAATCTTATTCCTTCACCGTAGTAGTCAATCGTGAACATTTGTTGAGTACGTATTTCAATAGAAAAATTGGTACCCGCCCGCGGGATTCGAACACCGTGGCATCGCTTCAACACGAATGCACCGGACGTCTTATCCTTTAGGCCACGACGACTGTAATTGTTTAGATCGGTGAATGAGCTCATGGCCCACCTGATGTTAAGTGTTTACTGGAGCCCATAGACAGCTACAACTTAAATGCCACCACCCACCTTGAGACAAGAGTTCTAAGGTCTTAGCTGTATCCGTATCAATGTATTATAACAGTTTCAATGTATTAAAACTAAGATTTTTTGCCCCAGATGCTCCTGATTATTTTCTATTATTTAGAATTTGACGTTCAGGTAGACAGCTCTTCACATTGGAAAGCTTGGGATACTGCTTCTCCGCAGAAAGAGACTGTATCAGCTCACATGCTACGAACGTACCATGTGCACTGATATTGCACTCTACCATAAGTAAATACACAAATTTAGGAACTGTATGGGCTTAAGTTTAATATAAGATCTGATCTTTCATCGTGAAGTTAATTTTTGAGTTTGTTGCAAAACAATAAGTACATATCTCCTTAGAAAAAAATTGCACGATTGCACTTGCAAGATTTGAACTACGGCATAACGCATCACCCGATACTATACTACGAGGCGTTTTATTGCGCCACGTAAATTTACAAAATGTTTTTATTTTTTTGTTACAAGGTACCGAAACCTTCGTGTGCGCCGATCAAGTTGTCTCCAATCTCGGTCCTCTACTATACGGATGATTCTAACGTGATCTTGCGCAAATACAAGAACATGGTTGTGAAGAGCTGCGGTTGCCATTGATATTGTGTTATTCGATATGTAAGTGCTTAGGGCTACTTTTAAACGAATTGTATTTTCGGATTTGCTCTTCAATTATAATGAAAACCAGTGAAGTAGCGAAGAATAAAGCTTAGTCCGTCGTTCAAATTCCAGATATAAATCGTAAATTTTAAATATTGGCACTCATTGTTATTCGTCATGAACACTTTCATGTTTTATTCATTGGTTTTGTTTAATATTTGATTACATTAAATTTATTTTATACTCGTATTATTTGTCTCGGTACCTAGAGTAAGTATAATAGCCGGCAAACTTCTTGAGCATTTGTTGACGTAGTGGGGGTAAGTTTGCGCATGGTACACTCACGTGCAAAAACATTACTTACTCTGCGTCATAATTAGGAGTGGGTAATATCGGTTTTGCCGCGTATCGAATCGTATCTATATATCGAGGATCAATATCGGATATTGAATCTATATATTTTCTGAATCTATATATTGATGGATGCTAGTAGATTTTCTCGATTCATGATATTTGAGATTTGAAACGTTACGCTGATATAATATCGTAGTAGAAATAGATTTAAGTCAACGTTATACGGTTGGTTTTCTGATATCAATTTATAATATGATCTTAAAGTAATAAAAAGAACATGAAAATAAAAATATCAAAAAAACTTTCCTTCATGCTTTTACCAGGCTTAGGACTGGCTACATTATTTTCAGTTTTTAGTATTTTGTGTCTTAATTTAAAATTACAAAATATACCAAAAGAGTGNCAACAAAGTCAACAAGCAATTATAACAAAATATAACTTAACGATTAATAACGATAGATTTTTCACTGTACGCAAGCGTACTTTTGGGAGCAAGCGGAACGAAGGCGCGGTGCGGGACGCAAGGTTCGACTGATCTACCAATAACGCGCTCGATACGATTTCCCCTGCCGTCGCGCCTCACCCTCACCACCAAAGTGATCTAAAATTCGGTTCTGCGCAGTCAAGGTCATTTGCTCACGATGTTTGCCGGTAACTATAATACTGGAGTTTAACACAAGTAAATTTTATAACTTTTATGAGTAAAGCTATATTTTAGTGTATTAGAGAGCTAGTCTTTAGAAGAAAGAAAATGTATCGTCCATTAGTGGTTAGTAAATCTAAGTTTATGTATACGGTATCTATACTTTTTTTTTTTACAAAATGTACAAGAAACAAATTATAGAGGTACAAAAAAAAAATTAAGGGTACCTTTCATCTAGACATAGGTACTACGTATTCCTGGGGGATATACATATATTTTATATAAAAAAACTTTTTACACCGCGTGACTAAACTCACAGGTATAAGCTAGTATTTAATTATGAACATGATTAACAAATATGTGCTATCGCTAAGTTAAGCGTCTTCTGTATTATCATTACCTTTCTTTAGTAGTAAAGCACACCTTTCTCTGGGCCGTGCACAATTTCTTTGCTAAAAATCATATCTATTCGTTGCACTGTCGTCATACGAAGGAAAAATAAATCAACTAACAAACTTAACTATTTATAATACTGTGGTAATTTTTGAGAAATGAGCGTTATTGTGTCTACAATAAATTGAAATTATGCCAAATGGAATTCGCTCCGCTGAGTTAAAATAATATATTTTTAAAGTCTTTAAATAAGTACGACCCGCGAAATTAAGATTTGTAGGATTACATCTTGACGCCCACGAATCTATCTTCTCGTGAAGAGCAAGCAATACAGGGATTTAGTCATTTCACCATTTCTAATATTAGAATTGTTTCAAAATATTAATACTTACACTATCGTACATCGATAAGCTAAATCAATATTTAACCAATGTCAACCAGATTATATTATTATTTTTTGGTTAAATAGACATTACTACGAGTAATCGTTAATGTTAACAATAAAAACTTATGGAATGATAAATTTTGTCTTCATTAAAATTTATATATTGTCATCAATAAATTAATAATATAGCAAAACAATCGTAATATATAAAATCAAGTTACTCTACTTTAAAAGTTCATTGGGTACAGAGTGAATAAGTACCATATGGCACCTCAGTTTTATTATTTTCTTTTGTGTGAACATGAATTATTATTTATTTGACTCATCGAACAAAAAATATTCATCTCATATTATTTATCCACTCCATATCGACGCTTAAAAGGGAAACGTGACTAAGCGACAATGCGTGAACTTTACAGTAGACTAATTTAAAGTTGAAATACCTGAAAAAAAAATCTATTTTAACGAATCTAGCTGTAGGATTGAAATGATTTTAATAGACCTAGAAATATCTTTTTTTACGCATCGAATATAGTTATTGTCTATCATTTATGTACAAAGCAGTTATTGTCGCTTAGTCACGTTTGCCTTTCAAGCTTCGATATATAGTAGCTTTAGTAGTGTGCGATGTTAAATCAGTTGTTGTTAAACCACGGGCATTTTTTTTTTTTTGAGATTCACTATTGAGCATAAAAAACACAGCATTTAAGCTACTTATCTCCTTAAATTAATTAAAATCCTTATTTGAGTCGTCTATTATCAAAGGTGGCAATCTGTGCATTTGGAGAAAAAAATGTTATTGATATGTCAATACAGATTGATTTGAATATAATCGTCTCCTTCAAAGAATACGGTTCAAAACCTGCATTAAATAAAGGTTAATACTTAACCTGTTATTTATCTAAGATGTCGTTCAGAAGAGTTTCGTGACTGCCAATGGAATACAAAGTCAATAATTCGTTTTTTCTGATTTACCAATAATTGTCCAAAAGTCACATTGCCGGCTTTGATAATAGTCGACTCATTTAAGTACTGTTAAAGTACGATTAATATAATACTTTAACATAAACCGTACTTAGATTGCATTATTTTATTTCGATACGTTCAAAATAGTTTATTGTTACACACAAATAATATTTGCTGACCGATATCGTGATCTAACAAACATTATTTTCTATTCATTTATGACAGACTGATAAGAAATACAGTACAAAGATTTTAACTGCACATTAATTAAGCTTTAAGCTTTGTTGTTTTAGTTTCCAACGAGTGTGTATTAAATTTTTGGTATAGTTTCGTACGTTTTAGAAATAATTGTTTGCTATAAAAAACGTGTTTATCGAATATATTAATAATGCAAATCCGTGACATTTTTAATGAACATGTTTATCCGCTACATTTTTTCCTGTTTCTTTCTGATATACTGGAATTTACTTTTGAAATATAGCAAAGAGTTTGTAGTTAATTTAATGAATGAAGAAAGCGAGTACAAAATATACTAGTTACAGGCATTTTTGGGAGTAGAATATCCGATTTTTAATTCTGAATAATTCATAATATGTATAATTTATGTAGCTCGCATAAAAGAAAAAGAGAAAATAATATAGTTTAACGTTTATCCAATTGAAGTCAAAGTGGTTTATTTATTATCTTAATCAAGAATCATTCAAGTCTATCATAATCTTTTTTTATCGTAAAATAAGTTTTGTAGTTAAGAATATTATTCGATTTTCAGATATTTTTTGTTTTGTTCGTCAAAATGCTTTCCCCGTCAAAATGAGCGTCGCAAAGTAATTTATGAGAAGGTAAAATTAGTTTCTATGTTAGATTTAAGTTATTAAATGTGCCAATTTAGTAAATTTTTTATGTGAGTAACTAACTTTTTTTATGAAATACATTTTTAAGTATACAATGCTTGTTTTAATTTTTATATTCAAACTTTTACAGTACTTAATGTAGTACTTTCTACAGGTGGTAGGACCTCTTGTGAGTCCGCGCGGGTAGGTACCACCGCCCCGCCTATTTCTGCCGTGAAGCAGTAATGCGTTTCGGTTTGAAGGGTGGTGCAGCCGTTGTGACTATACTGAGACCTTAAAACTATATCTCAAGGTGTGTGGCGCATTTTACGTTGTAGATGTCTATGGGCTCCAGTAACCACATAAAACCAGGTGGGCTGTGAGCTCGTCCACACATCTAAGCAATAAAAAAAATATATTAACTGCATAATTAAAACTACATTTACGGTTTAATCTCGCACGTTTATTGTCATTATATGGTTTCCGAAGTTTCCGATATGTTTCGAAGAGAAGACGAGATTAAACAAAGATGCAGTTTTTTAGTTTTTGTTTTATTGCATAGATGGATGGACGAGCTCACAGCCCACCTGGGGCTAAGTGGTTACTGGAGCCCATAGACATATACAACGTAAATGCGCCACCCACCTTGAGATATAAGTTCTAAGGTCTCAGTATAGTTACAAACCCCTTCAAACCGAAAAGCATTACTGCTTTACGACAGAATATTTATTACAATTTATTACAAATTATACAATTTTACAAATTAAACAAATTTATTACAATTTACATTCTGTTGCCTGTCGATATTTATTGTTTCAGCATCACATTTCGTGGCCTAAAGGATAAGACGTCCAGTGCATTCGTATCTAGCGATGCAACGATGTTCGAATCCTGCGGGCGGGTACCAATTTTTCTAATGAAATACGTACTTAACAAAGTTCACGATTGACTTCCACGGTTACTACTAACACTGCCTGAGACATAAGATTTCAGTCTCAAATGTATTATAGTATAACGGTTGTACCATTTAAACCGGAACGTATGACTATTTCGCGGCTTAAATAGACAGGATGATGGTACTTTTACTTTACTTTGGTATTCGAGTGGGCTTACAATATGCCCACCGGTAAGATAATTAAATACAATAACATCACACTCCTTTAGATAAATATTATAATTCGTGAAAAACTAAAATAAAATGTTTCACTTAATTAATTTCAATGCTTTGATTGTTTACGATTTAGATAATGGTCTTGTCAATTTCGATTTTTTGCTTATCAGTGAGTGCCGTTGAACGTTGATATCGTTGATAGCATCAGGCGTGCTTGAAAAGTATTTATGTTTGAAATTCTCAGTACTCGATCGCTTCATGTTTTATCATATCAGTTAGAGGTCTTATGAATCGACTTCTTTGGCAAAAATATCATAGTTTTTGTAAACACTACGGAATCAAGACGTTTCTTATTGTTATTATTATTTTACTCTTAAAATATAATATTTTTTTAAAAAACAAGAAAGGTTGTTGTACGTGTCTAGACAGTGTATTCGCGGCCATCACAACGGCGTTACAGCCTCTGAAGCGATTAAATTCAAGTCGGTCGGAAAATTCGGCAATCGGCATCACTTCTACGCAAGCATTGCTCCAATTCGCACGTCCATATCCCCAACAAAATAAAAAATAAACAATGGTGGATACGGTGAGCGACACTCACCATACGCTGTGAATAATTTCGTAAATTGTTTTAATGACTGTGATTTAAGTTTATTGAAAAATGACGTGGCATTTGTTCTTTATTTGCGTATTTTTGTATTATACAAGTGTCGGTGCTGAATCCTATGAAAAAGTGGTTGCATTTAGGAAGTGTTGTATTGAGAATCAAAGTTTAGTTAGATCATTTGAAGTCAACAAGACCGAAAGTTTCGTATGCCTAGACCGGTCCACTATTGAAGATAATTATAATATTTCTGCATCTCCACTCCTGATAGGTGAGAATGTTAATACTGTATATGGCACCCCGGTGTGTGACCAGATGGAATTGTCTCAAGTGACTGCTACTGAATTCGATTCTGATCAAGACCATCGTTGCTATGACAGACTGATAATAGAAACGATAAACGGCACGATTAAACAGAACATACCGAAAATTGTTGCTTTAACTTGCGCGAATTTTAAAAATAATACGAAGAATCTCATGAAATCAAAGCTAACGGTAGATCGCATCAAGAAATGTTGTCCAAAAGGTCAAAGCTACGATCCGAAATATCATTTTTGTAGGCTCAGCGACTCGGAAAATAATGAACAGACGCTAATAAAAAGATTAAACTTGAGTTCAGATCATATTTATGAAGTTGAGAACGAGTTACATTGTAAAGCTGTTGAAACCGGTATTGAATTGAGTGAAGAGAAATTTTCGTTAGTAGTAGAAGGAAGTAACTTAATTGTGACCAGAAAATTTTCAGAAAAGAGTCATATTGCACACCCCGGAGAATGGTGCATAGATCGCATGTTCCCCGGGGAAAGTCTCATTGCTCGAATGTGCTCAAACAGCTGTTCTGATTTTGATGCGTTTTGTGTGAAGAAGTGTTGTCCTGTGGGACAGCATTATAAAACGTTGCGATGCGGAAGTTTTGTCAGTAGATGTGTGCCGAATAAGGATAGCGTGGCGTTTAATATTTCGAACTATTTGGACGAATTAAAGGCTAATTATGATGATATCCCGGGTAAGTAGGTTAACTTTTTTTCAGATTCACGACTCTGTGATTTTTTCAAAACTTTAATATGATGCGATCTCTTCGTATTTAGAGTTTCCTTCGTAAATTTTATAAATAACTAGATACTGACCGAGCTTTTCTCAGTATTTTTTTTTTGATAACTTGTGTTTTTTAGATCTTATATTTAAATACGAATTATATATTGATAAAATGATGAAATATAAATAATATTTTTCGATCTTACCGACAGAGTAATAAAAAAATATGAACTGGTTATTTAAAGAAAAAATCAAAATTATCGATGAAGTTGATTATTGAAAACACGAATAAAAGAACATTTTCTGAAAATAAATCGTAGCTAGATCGAAATCCCCTGTATACTAAATTTTATGAAAAATCGTTGGAGCCGTTTCCGAGATTCAGATTATATATATAGGTATATATATATATACAAGAATGGCTTGTTTAAAGATATTATTATATATCGTACCTTCGTCTGCCTTGAGATGTCTTAATTTGGATGGTTAAATACAAAATATACTTATAGAAAAAAAAAAAAAAATTCGTACACACGCAAAGGAATAATTTTAATTCTCATTTTAAATTGTTTAGATGTGCTTGGGATCCGTTCAGACTTGCTGTGCTCCGCCGGAAGAGTGGCACTAAACATAAGTGCTGATTATGACAAACACGAATTGACTCGAGATGGATATCTTCGGTCTGCTATAAGCGATCATGGTGATTACTGTTTTGAGACATTCGATAGTAGACAGTGTCCTGGTGGTGATTTGACCGTTACCGCAGTCACATGTTTCGTCAAACCGCAGATGAAAAATTTCCAAGTATCTTTTGTGGTAAGAATAATTACTGTTCTACATTTGTTTTCGATTCGCACTTACTGTCAATTCAAAATTAACAAGATTATCACAAAATATTACACAATGACAAGTCTAGCTTTTCAGTAATTGAGAAAGCTGATGGCATTGTTGATGTCTATGGGCGATAATGAGTAATCACCATCAGATGGGCCGTATGCTCACCAGCTAAAAATGGCAATAAAAAACACTAAAATTTTCCTAATTTTCGGATGACGAATAAATTATCTATCATCAAATCAATAAAATAATCAATCAATTTAATCAATAAATTTGTAGACGATAGATCCACTAGTATTTTAAATTCATCTTAACGGATAAATATTTTTACACCGGAGCGCTTGCTTTATATCAAGTAAGATCAAATTAAATATAAAGCTTAATTTTATTAATTTGGGAACACATGTGCGACTAGTTATTTGCAATAATTAAAAACAAATTCCGCACGATATTTATCATTTCTAAAAGAAAATAGATACAAATATACAGTTTCAAATAGATCGAACTATGGACAAAAAAGAAATACATACTAGACAATACATCGCCCAAGACTTTTTTGTTTCAAAAACAACGATATCCCCATTTAATAAAACAGCCACAAAAGAGAATAAAAAAAACACTAAGATGTTAATTAATATAGTACAAGATCGTATTACGTCAACCTATAAAAATAAAGGAACTGCAATCAGTGATTCTTCGTAACATAACATGTTTACTTAAAAATATGTGTTGGTTGGGATTGAAATGTCTACAACAGCTAATGAGATTTATTGAATTTTAAGGACAACTTACTTATTGTAGAGCTGTATTACTAAAGACTTTAAAGCAAATCTAGAGTTTGAATGCTTTTTTTTTTAGCTTATTAGCATATCGAGCGTATGTCTGGCATTGACGTTGTTGGTGTATTGCGCTTTGCCAGAATTGTGGAACCTACACGGTCGCACCTTAATCTGCCACGTTAGTATGATGTTGCTGGCTTTCACCTGCCTCGCAAGGGTTCAGTATAAAGAAGTTGCTGATAATAAACTCTGTACATTGCTGGGTAAGTGTGATTTTTCTTAGGACCGTTTATTATATTTGAGGTGACTTTGACCTCGTCCGATCCTGTCACAATGCCGTAGTTTAGTAACGAGGTGGTACTTACGAACTTTATAAAGTAATCAATCGTAATGCTTCCTGTGTGCGACAACAAAAACTGTGAAATCTTTTTTTTTTTTTTAATTCCCTTGTAGGTAGTCGAGCATACGGCCCACGGTGAGTGGTTACCGTCGCCCATGGACTTCAGCAATGCCAGGGGCAGAGCCAAGCCGCTGCCTAAAAATGAGAACAATTCATTTAAATAAATTTTTAATAAAGTCAAATGATCAATATTAATAAGATTTGTGTGCAATTAGTGGTTATGGTGTGGGCCGGCACGGCTCAGTACCTATCAGACTATCAGTGCCTATCAATAGATATTACAACTACGAAATAGCCAATTTCGTAGTATAAGCCAGTTTCGTTCGTACATAAATTATCAAATTATTTTCTAAAAAAAATATTGCGCGCTATTTGTCTATGCGACTACAAAGAGAGAAATAGCGGCTATGAGACTAATCGAGACTTAATGTGTTCTTTACTTGAAAAAATATGCTTTATTAATCCTTACGAGTGGTTACCAGTACTTCTGAGCACTTGCACAAGGAAGCACTGGTGCACTGGTGGCCCGAAGGCCTTTCCAGCTTCACCAGGAGGGATGGGAATTGCTAACAACTGCCCGAGTGTCTCCAAAGGAGACTTAAAAACTCAAGAGTAACTGATCCGCGAATGAATCTAAATTGAGCAGATAGTTGTGTTTAATAACTTTTATCCTTATTTCAGAAAGCCAATAAATAAATGTGTCGTGTATTGACGAAATTATAAATAAGTTCATAACGTTCTAAGATATATGTAAGTGTTTTGGTTGGGGGTTGACAGGAGTTGCCCTTGCTAGGACTAGTCAATAATACATGAATGTCATGAAATTCTTACTTCCTCGAATATTAATAAAAATTTCATACCTAAAAGCATTTGGTGCTAATTTCCCATAGGTACATTAGGCTGGCTTACAAAGCCAATCATTGTGTGTTATCATCGTAAAATTATGTTATGATCTAAGTGGGTGGTGTTACGTGGAGTGTGAAAGCGTTGAACATTGTGATAAAGAGTTGTTATTACGTAGTTATTACGCGTGTTATGATAAAATATGAACGGGTTTTAGTAATTAAAGGACCGGTCTTTGTGGCGAGGCTTGGGGAAGACTTATGTCCAGTAGTGGACGTCTGTGGGCTGATAAGAAGAAGGATTAAAACTGTAGTCGTTATTCTCGTTGAAAATAATATTCAGTGGTTTAAAAATAAAAAAAATAAAATTAATATCTTCATTACATTATTCAATGATACGAAATTTGTTAGCTCGTCTTAGAATTTTCAAATTTATTTTAACCGATTAATGTAAGAGGCATCACGAATATGACAATGACACCCAGTATCTCATCCTCTTATGATATACACATTGTTCGTTAAAAATATTATTTTTATTTATCAGCAAAGCTGGGGCTTTTGGTATTAGGCGGTCTGAAATCAATTGACAGCGCAGAAATATTACTGTTATCTACTTTGAAATCATTAGCTCTATGATTAAAAAAGAGACAAAAAAATTCTTAAAAAAAGTTCGCACGATCGGAGCTTAAAAAGGCACGTGCGTCGGCGGCACCAACTAACGTGGGTTTAAAGCATGTTTTATCACGACAACGACCGAAACTTAAACAGGAAACTGTGGGAATGAAGTTACTCATTTTTTCATGAGCGCTTCTTTTAATAGTAAGATTTTTCGCTCAAGCAGAAGTGATTTCATCACGCGCAATGAATAATAAACAAATCAAAATAGGAAAATGGCGTCGATCTTTACGCACGCAATTGAAAATGAATACACAGCGAAAAAGTACACGTTTATGTCTGTTCATATTTTTAATGAAATCTATTAATTGTTATAAGTAATCGTGCAATATTTTTCTTGTATCCTAATTATTTACTTAAGTGTAAAACTTTCTTGCGTTACACGTAATCTTGTTCTAATAGCGGTGCTAATTACTTATCCGACCACGACGGGGCAACGCAAAGCCGCCGTCTCCCGAAACGTGTCTTGTCGGATCCGGGATCCCCGGGTTCAGTTTTGGTGCTTTTAGGCCTCTCAAGCATGTCTCAAGGACTCGACGAGCAAACTAACCCATAGACACAGCCCACTGAGTTTCGTCGTATCTTCTCAGTGGATCGTGATTCCGATCCGGTGGTAGATTCTGCGAAGTACTGCTCTTGCCAAGGCTAGTGTTTTTTTTTTATTGCTTAGATGGGTGGACGAGCTCACAGCCCACCTGGTGTTAAGTGGTTACTGGATCCCATAGACATCTACAACTTAAATGCGCCACCCACCTTGAGATATAAGTTCTAAGATCTCAGTATAGTTACAACGGCTGCCCTACCCTTCAGACCGAAACGCATTACTGCTTCACGGCAGAAATAGTCAAGGCGGTGGTATCTACCCGCGCGGATTCACAAGAGGTCCTACAACCAGTAAAGTAGTGTTAGCAAATTGTCTCAGGTTGAGCCCGTGAGCTCACCTAATCGTCCGGGCGTAGCTGGAATAGCCAACCAGAGAATTTTAGGCAACCAGAGAATAGGTAGAAAAAAAATAGAATTTTCAATTTATGAAATTCGAACTTTATTAGTAGAGAATCCCAGAGTCTACAAAATACCACTGATACCTATTACCATATTCAGTCGTTTACTAATGGACAAACAGATAATTCACTTCAGCTTTTTAATTGATGAAGAATTTTTAATCTCCAGCCGTCGTAATTGCATTATATCACCAGCTTGTTTTTACATATCTATAATTTTATTCTCACGTATTATAGAATAATAATACGATTTATAAATATTATTTTGCATGTTGCCATAATATAAATGATCAATAACACAGTCCCATTGTTTACACAGGGTACGGGATCTACTTTGGATTCGTAGCGGCATTTGCTTGGCTTAACGTCATGTGCCTCGACATCTGGTGGACATTTGGGTAAGTTCAATATCAACAAATCTGTGCTCAGAATAAATGCATGCCTAATAAGGAGACGAGCCATATTATCCGTCGGATTTACAATGGTTTTTGTGGGCTATCTTTGATTTTATTAACATACAACTTTTCCATCTTTTTTTACTAATTTTTCGGTTACAAGCAGTCATGCTATCGAAAAGTTTCAGTCATAAAACAAGTTTTTTTTTTTTAGGAAATAATTTTTTTTTTTTTTTTTTATAGCTTAAATGGGTAGACGAGCTCACAGCCCACCTGGAGTTAAGTGGTTACTGGAGCCCATAGACATCTACAACGTAAATGCGCCACCCACCTTGAGATATAAGTTCTAAGATCTCAGTATAGTTACAACGGCTGCCCTACCCTTCAAACCGAAACGCATTACTTCTTCACGGCAGAAATAGGCAGGGCGGTGGTACCTACCCGCGCGGACTCACAAGAGGTCCTACCACCAGTAATAATAGTAATGCTCAATCAGTGATTGAAATTAGACCAAAGTCACTATCACCTCCGAACTCGTATTCTTTTTTATAGTATTTTCTCTTTTGTTTGATGTTGACATTTTTTTTGTTCAAATGGGGGAAACAAACGAGCTTTATACCTAAAATTTTAACTAATATTACTAATGCTCGTAAATAGGTTACTTTAAAAAAAGAAAATCGGTCGATAAACAGTGCAGAAAAGGGCACTGAACTGTTTGTTTGTCTTTACCTAATTTTATTTAGATACAATTACTTCGTTAAAGCTTATGTTTGAAATACAATTAAAAATACGCAAATAAACTAAATTAGTAAATAAATCATTTGATCATTCTCAATTTATTGATAGTTCAATTTCAACACAAAAACTAAGTGTTTCTTGCTATCTGACTTGTTTGTCATTATGAGTAGTACAGTCAGTCATTGAGTAATAAAAGTGAAATCATTAAACCACAAAATATTACATACTCTGCTTAGTCAGAGATTTGATAAATTAAAATTATTATATAAATATCTTAATATAAACAATCAAAGACAAATCAGACACGGCAATCTGACCCCAAGCTAGGATTCCCTGTGCGCTTAAATATATACATAACCTAGCGATCACTACTCAGATAAAAAGCAAAAAACCGATCGTCACACGAAAGTTTGCTCGAAGTGGGAATATTAATATCCACGACTCTCAATTCCCCTTTTTTTATCCTACATATGCCTTGAGAAGCATATCAGCTTCTCCTTGACGTCTAGGTGAGCTCACGGGGCTCAAACCGGGTCTGTTACTAACACTGGCTCTAGCAAGAGCAGTGCTTCGCAGAATCCACCTCCGGGTCGGAAACGCGACCCACTGAGAAGATCCGGCGAGAAACTCAGTGGGCTGTGTCTATGGGTTAATTCACTCGTCGAGCCCTTCGTCGCAAGCGACGGCTTCGACGAGGACGGTCAAGGGCGTTAAGTATTGCGCCATTGAATTACTCAATAAACCTAAATATTAGGGATTTTTCCACAAGGCTATGAATGAACTCGCTTTCTATTTTGGGTCTGAACCCAGGATTTTCTAGTTGGCTTAGTGGTTAATGACCCATCGATTCCCTGTTAGAGTCATTATTTTGGTTAAAGATATATAGCATTCGGGATTTGGGTGTACTTTTCTTGACTTGTAATGTAATATTGGAAAAATCATAGCTTCGAGTTCATCGATGTACAAGTTTGATTACTAAAAAACAAACACTGTACGATAAGTTTTCAAAAATATTTTCATATCAGATTCACATTTATAATATACTGGTGTTGTTATAATTCTAAGTTTTATTAATTATATCAATGGTCAGAATTTTATTCTTTAATCTAGGTCAAAACATAAAAGTATTTGATTTGAAAAAAATATATGGAAAAGTTTTTAAATGAACTTATTGAGTGTGATTCAAATTTTTTTCTCGTATTCCTCAGACATTGTAACGTTCAGCGTATTCAGCGATTTCATCGAAATGAATAGTGTATAGAACCGTTGACGATGTTTCTGAGTAAAACTGTAGTAATACCGATTAATGTAAATAAAATCGCGAGCGATGTAGTTTGTGGGCAAGCATCAATCAAGCTTCCTACACAACGAGGATTTTACAGATTCGTAATACATAAGGCGCTCAGTGTAAATGGAGTGAGTGTTACGACTAATTTAAACTATAGCTTATAGGTTCAAATTACAGCAAATTACGTACACTATCCCTTATTATTGTAACTAGATGATGACGGAGCTTTGCTCGGTTTTTTTTTGATAACGCCATCTTGGTTAGTTGCCCTCAATTAAGAAAAATAGTATTATTATTCGCCAATATATGTCGGGAGGAGTTGATTATTGAAAACACGAATAAAACAACATTTTCTGTAAATAAATCGTAGCTAGATCGATTTATCGCCCCCGAAATCCCCTGTATACTAAATTTTATGAAAATCGTTGGAGTTGTTTCCGAGATTCAGATTATATATATATTAATATACAAGAATTGCTCTTTTAAAGGTATAAGATTTGGAAGTAATCTCTCACACCAACCAATAACTAGTGGAAACATCACAGCCGACATAAGATCTTTCGCAATGGCTTTGTCGTAAAATGTGATAAATATTTACTTCGTCTGAGAATCGAAGTGTTTACATATGGGCTCATTGATATTTACACATCGGTCGAAGGAACCAGCCATAATGTTTGCTAGTCATGTACAATCTTTAACGAGAATGAAAACGTAACGTTTTTCTAAATATTTCACAATGACCTCAGGATGTATTTTAAGTTCAGTAATTCAAATAATAATATGAGTTTCCGTTTTGTCGTTTGCAGTGATAATACATTAAATTCAAACGATAAGTGATGTTTTGAGTTGTACATTAAAATTAGTAATGGTACTAATAAATAATTAACTTACAACACTTAACTATGGCAGGAAATTTGTAAACATAAGACTTTAAATCAATGAGCTTGTTTTTGTGAATGATTGTCAAACGATGTTAGAAAATACGTATATATTTATTAGGAGATTTGGGTTGTTGGTATTTAATGACATGACAATGATAAGGATATCGTCATAAATCAGAGAAGGATTCCATAGGGGATTTAAGTACCTCACGACCCATGAGGAAGAGGTGCGAGTACATTAGGATTATAGGTACTTAATATGTACACATTGCAAATTTTATTTTTAGAATTCATTACAAGAGGCGACAAATTATTACTATAATTATGAATTTGAAATATTAATAATATATTATTTATATTGGAATTGTAAAGAAGATGCTAGTTAATAAAATGAAGAAGATGTCGGCAGAGAGTTGAAATATTACGATGTCGGCATAAAATATGTGTCGTAAATAAAAGCCGACTAAGGGATTAACCGGAGAATGTACATCAGTGTTATTTGAGTACAACATGTTGTGATTGTAACTGGCACTTACTGATGGTATGGGGGAATTGTAAGCCCACACCGGTATGTACCATCATCCTGCCTATTTTTACGGCGAAGCAATCATATTATGTAGTGCTACATAATGCAATTGAGGCTGGTTGTAATTGGGTGGGTCGCAGCATTCACGTTGTGATCACTTAACATCAGGTGGACCGTGACCTTCGTGTTTTATCTCACTCGATATTGTTTGATGTAGACTGCAAAGGTTAGAAGGTGTAGTTAAACTAAATAATGCCTAAATCCTACTTTTATTAGCTTCGATTATAAGTGAGCATTTACAGCGTTATGCAATAAGCCTGTCAGTTGGGTGCCATTAAGGTTTAACAGGCGGCATGTAGACTAATTATGACTTCATTATTTGGATTAATAAAGCGCTAATGGGACGGGATGTACACATTATAATCAGACAAAAGATAATGAAAAAGGACAGAACATTAAACTGAGTTTACGTGTTAGCTATGGTACGGGCGTGGTTTAATTAAACCACGTCATCGACAGAGCACTCTACTGGAATACCGGCGCAAAATATTGAATAGTTAAACAAAAAACAGACGGCTAAATATAGTTCTCAATCTCAGACCAAGAGTCGGAGGTCACGTGTAGACGGAGATTGCTTTGGATTCTAAAATTTAGATGGGTCTGTTCCATTAAACCTCGAATTCAACATGGATGAGAATTAATTAAGTTTTCTTAATTGATATTTGCTTTAATTGAGCATTTTGCTGGTTTAGTAGTCTATTATGAGCGAACGAGAACTACCACAGTTCTGCTTTTAACCAACTACTTTTCAATATTCAATACAATTGATATTTTTATCTCGTATCTTCGGACGGGCTGCGACATACGCGTAGTAATGTCAATGGGCTTCTGTAATTACTTAAGATAAGGGGGTCGTAAGCTTGTATGCCTATTTAGAGCAATAAAGAGTTATAGAGGTTTTATTGGTATTTTATATTAAACCTAGTATGTTTTCTTCAAAATTGAATTTATAAAGCAACCAGTGGGAAGTAGTTATACTAGGTAGGGCGATAAATCTTGTTTTAGGTTTAATGAATAATAGTGCAATCGTGTTCATCTAAATAAATAAAAAAAATTAAGATTTTGAATGAGACTTGAATTATTCATAACGTATTTTTTAGGGAACTTACATCATTCTCACAATTTTATCGCTTTCTTGCATTTGTTTCTTTTGTGATAGCGACACTCATAATATAGAAGAAAAAAGCTGTTAAATGTGGTACATTTATTTATTTTGACAATTTCAAAAATAAATTATTCGAAATTATTTCTCACATAAATGAAGATTCGGGTGATCATCTCATTGTTTTAATGTAGCGCTCAAAATTTAAGATAAAACTATATATCGACGCTTGAAAGGCAAACGTGACTAAGGCAAACGTGACTAAGCGACAATAACTGATTTATACATAAATGATAGGCAATAACCATATTCGATCCGCAAAAAATATATATTTCTAGGTCTATTAAAATCATTTCAATCCTACAACTAGATTCGTTTAAATAGAATTTTTTTCAGGTATTTCTACTATAAATTAGTCTAATGTAAAGTTCACGCATTGTCGCTTAGTCACGTTTGCCTTTCAAGCGTCGATATGTATCTTAGAGTTCCGATAAATTCGATAAGGGCGATCAAAATAAAGCATTTTCTTATTTATAGTTAGGATATTCTGGTGGGATAATCTTGGCAGCTCCATAAACAACGTATGGTAAATGTTAACACTGGAGTTTGTTTACGTTTTCATAATTTAGATGAACACGATTACACTATTAGTCATTAAGTCCAAAGATAAAGGTTTATTGTTCCACCTAGAACGACTAGAATATTTCCCACGATTTCATTCGCAAATCCAGGTTAAAAAAAGAGAATACGATGATGTAAAAGTTTTTAAAATTTTTATTGATCTGAATGGGCAGACGATCTCAAGACAGTTGATTTTCATGTTAATATTATTCAGTGTTTATGTTCAGGATGGTATTGTACGTCTATCCCATTTTTAAAATTGCCTAGGAATGCCAATATGCGTGAAAATTAAGTTTAAGCGTTTCCATGTTATTGTGGATTCATTTTTTTGACCTTCCAATGTATCGCTCGCCCTTTACGTAACTGTCGTAAAAAAATTATTGTTATTGATGAATTAATAGCCGTGTACAAATACTCAAATAGGTAATAGTCAGATGAAAATAGTATAAGGACTTCATTTATTCTTTATTGATTCTTATAATGTCGTTAAATTAAACATAGAAACCAAATATGCTTATGAACAATACATAAGTTAAATCCACACATGAGGTATTATTATCTGAGTACCTACTCGTTAGCTCCTTTTTATTTACGTACATACATGACCGCTACGATCTGTCCTTCACAATCACGATCGCAACCACGACCACTCTGACAAGAGTGTCTAACTAAGAAGAAGAAGACGTCTGTCTTTATCTAAACGTGGCTTATAAAGAATCCTCAACAGTAGGTAGCAGTTTGGCTACACTCTTATCATGGCTGATGTCCATGAGCAGCTGTGTCCACGTACCAATAGGAGACCAGTATCAGGGAAAAAAATGACATGTTTATATTTGGAAGAAAAAAAATGTATGAATTTTATTTCAGGAGTGTGAGAATGGTGCAACCTTTGAGGAAGTCAGGAGCCGAGTGGCGAAGATTTCTCTGGTATTCGTTGTATGCGTGGGGTTTTGCGAGCATCCTGACCCTTGTAATGTTTATTCTCGACGAGTATCCTATTGCAATAGAACTTGACGCCAACATCGGCAGCGGCATGTGTTGGTTCGGCTCACGTTAGTACTTATTTAAACTTATATGAAATTATTATCCCATCTAATATACAGAGTTGTTTGATATTCTTGTTGATATCGAAAATCTTATGAATTCATGATATTGTCCGAATGCTGTGTTAACGTGAAAAGATGAATCATGCGTATACATTTTCTTTATTTGAACGGATGGACTAGTGCAGTCCATCACTCATAATTTTGGATTTGTTTCTTTTGATCAAAAAGAAGATAAAGGTGTTCGAATAATTTTGTTCGACGTTTTGTAAACAACTTGCGGATTCATGTCTTTTTACCATTCTTTTTTTTTTTCGTATTGTTACGTATTTGAAAATTGGGTCGATTAAGATGCTACAGAAAAGAAATCAAATTAATGTTATTAAAGCATCGTTTCATTAAAGCAGAATCGTTTCAGCATGCGAATTGCTTAGATTATATAGGTCAAACAATTGAAGGTCTGTAATGTTTACGTAAACGATGGTAGACATCAATAAAGCAGACGCACCTGGAATTGGGTAGTAATTAGTAAATTACTTGCTCAGGTTATGTGAAAACAAAAGCTTTTTTTTTTTATTGCTTAGATGTGTGGACGAGCTCACAGCCCACCTGGTGTTAAGTGGTTACTGGAGCCCATCGACATCTACAACGTAAATGCGCCACACACCTTGAGATATAGTTCTAAGGTCTCAGTATAGTCACAACGGCTGCCCCGCCCTTCAAACCGAAACGCATTACTGCTTCACGGCAGAAATAGGCGGGGCGGTGGTACCTACCCGTGCGGACTCACAAGAGGTCCTACCACCAGTAATTACGCAAATTATAATTTTGCGGGTTTGATTTTTATTGCACTGTGTTATTCCTTCACCGTGGAAGTCAATCGTGAACATTTGTTGAGTACGTATTTCATTAGAAGAAATCACTTCATTAGACTTTGACGTTCAACCGATTACGTTAGTGTCTCATGAAAAGATTTTGCTATAATCAAATCGATTTTATTTGTCAATTAGTTGTCAATATAAACGTGAATACGGGAAATTTTATATTGATTTGGAATAATTATATTTGGCGATGACTAATATATTTTTTCCATTGGTTTACAGAAATCTTTAGTAATGTGGTCTGAAACCTAAACTTTGACTAATTAATCACTATTGTAAAGACTTTACATTCATATTCAAAATCATTGATGTATGATTACATAATTAAGAAACTTTGATTAATCAATGTTATTTTTAAAATGTATTTTTTATTCTAACGATGGTTGACATGAATTATAGCAATGAAGTGGTTGATTGATTTCGGATTTTAGTAATATTAAGTCCATTATAATCTTAGATGGTATTATACAATGTTTTGTAAATAAAAAATTGAAATTATGTTAAATTGAATATTTTCAGTGCAAAACGAGCGGTCAGATTGGCCTCACTACATTTTCTTCGTGATTCCGATGGGTCTTGTGACATGTACGAATTTCATCCTGTGGGTGTTGACGGCGCGGCATTGCGCTCGAGTCAAGTCCGAGGTCCATCGGCTGCAGGCGGGCTCGGTTGGTGACCGCGCTAAGCGACGTTTCCGTATCGACAGAGCTAAGTAAGATAACAGTTATATTTACTCAACGTACAATAGATCATGATCTATATCTTTTATACATCATAATAATATCTTTATCTATATGTTTTATAAATCATACTTTTAATACTGTATTAACTATTATATGTATGTATGTGTGTATGTATATACATATGTATAATTGTACATATATACTTTTTTTTGTGTATATTTTTAACTTAATACAAATTTCATTGCACCTACTACTATTTACTCTGCACTATTATACCTTTGGTTGACTGGTAGAGAATGCCTTAGGCATGAAGTCCGCCAATGTAAATTTTACATGAAGTGTAATAAATAAATATGTCGTATTTATACCTAATTGTGAACCAGGACGGTTGTAGATACCACTATTCTGGGTATTTCTTCTATGAGGTTGTCAAGCCTTCAGTGTGCTTAATCCGAGTCTTTTAACGTTCTCGATAGCGTAAAAGTTAACTCGAATTTGTATGGAGTTGGAACGTTTGCCTCCGTTTGCTGCTAGGGGCGCTGTTCCAACTGCATACAAATTTGAGTTAACTTTTACGCTATCGAGAACGTTAAAAAACTCGCACTAAGACGCATACTGTTATGACGTGTAGGATAGCCGCTATACAGATTGGGACTTCGATCTCCTACCTCAAGGCGATATTAATTTTATGAATATGGACTATGTAATACTTAAAAACCTACTAGTTAAGTTAAATGATGGTTGAGGTTTGACTGTATTTACTTTTATCATGTTGACGCTAACTGTTCCATTGATGTCATCGCTCTAGGTGAACGCGAACGGAAAACCCGAGCTACAGCAAAAAAATATAATTTATCCGGTTCGTTCCTTTTGTTGGTTGGATGTGCTGAGAGTTTTACAACAAAAGTGTTGTCATAATTAATATACCACAAAGTTTCTTTGATTTGTTTTTTGTAAATGCACGTAGGCATGACTATGGCCGAAGCGTCGACACACTCGATAATTAAACAGCTTTGCACTATCTTAATTTGTTTATATGTAGATTTAGGCGCAATTACATTCTAATGTGATCAATGTATTTGAGTTGCGGATACTTGACAGCTGTAATAGAGATATGGTGATGACCTTAACATTTCTGAGCGTGTAAAAAACTATCAAAATAGTACGATACTACGTAATCTGGTGCACGCTATTCAAAGAATATTGTCATTGATTGAGACATGAATCTAAATAGAGTAACTATGTAGACATCGACGAGTAATACATAGTTTTATTGGTAGTGACGTAATTCCGTATTTTTGTCTAGTCATCGTGTTTTTGTATATATGTTGTTATTTAGTATTTTTTATTCTAGTATCTACTTTAATTTTGTAAAATATAAAGTAATCAGTTCTATGATCAAACCGTTTCAGAAGAAAAAAATTTAATATCGAATCGTGTATGGATGACGAGTCACGTATAGCCCGCCGCGTTGTGCTTACATATCTTAATATAGTTTTTTCGGTGCAAACGAACAATAGATTTCTAAGAACCATGATTGGACTATACGAAACGAACAGAAAAACATATTATATAGGTACTTATCTATTGATAAGTATATAATATGTTTTTCTGTTAGAAACCACACATGCATGTAACCACGCATAAAAAAATAGTATGTCTTATGGCAGAAATGATTAAGTAGGCCGTTGCTATCCACCAGTGAGTTCTCCTTCTCGTGAGTGAGAGTGAAAAAGTTTATGATTGTGTATTCAAAATGAAATTTGCAAATTGTCGTGGAGAGCTTTCTCTCAGAATACAATTTCTAGGAATAAAAGAGAAAGTTTATACAGTCCTTTGGTCGCAATAAATTATTAAAGCCATAGAAAAAAATGTACTGATTTTGCTACAAAATTATGTTGGCTGTTCCTAGCAAACCTTAACACCCGTGCTGCTATGCCTTGAACATGTGCTTGAACATCCTTTTTTCGTATTTACACTACACGTGCTAACTGCTCATTGGCAGTTTCGGAGACCTTGAAATTGACTAAAGAAAATAAGCCGACTATTATTATTATGACAAATAGACGATCGTTATGGAACACCTAGTAGTAGTGGTACATAATAATACATGGAATTTAAAGGATAGGCAATTAATAATTGTAACACTTCTAGGTACCTTTTGACCGGAAAACTGTGGGTGGTGATGGGAGCGGGATGGATATCGGAGCTTCTTTCTACTATCGCTTCAGAACCAAAGTGGCTTTGGACCATCGTTGACCTTCTGAATGAACTACAAGGAGTCTTCATATTCCTCATACTAGTGTTCAAGCCTAAGTTGTACTACCTAATCCGAAAGAGACTAGGTAAAATTCTGATGTTTCTCTATGATAATAGTTTTCGATCTGATTACTTGTGTAGCTATTGTGATGCTCTATCATTGCCATTGACATAGAACGTACTTTAAAAAATACGGAAAGGATTTTCTATTAAACTAATCTTTTTCTCAATATTTTCTATAGGATTCTGTTTTAGTAGGGCATTATTATTTGTCTACAGGAGTATTTATTTATGTAAGTCATTACACCACAAAAGTTGATAATACTCGTAATACAAAGTAATGTAAATAAAAAATAATAAACGTTTTATGTTGAGTGCAACTCCAAATATAAATGTCAAATACATATTAAAAACGGCAGCAAATTAAAATTTTACACATCAAAAGTACGAATTTAACTTTTTTTTATATCATAAACGAAGTGACGAGTAAAAATAGATAACTCTCAGTCTTATAATTATTATTTTATTTCATTAGTTATTATTAATGATTTTTAGCAAGAATTTAATCATTATCATTATACAATGAGCAAACAATATAATAACATGGATCAGGATGAAAATAAATATATTCGAATGTTTTTTTGTAACTTATTACAAATAAATCTTATGATCGTTTCGAAATTATTTGTGACAAATGGCGTTTATTTTTTGGGAGTTTATACTCTGAAGGAAGACTGAAAGGTTCGGTGTCCGCTTTCATGACAATGAATCATACTTTTACCGTTTACATTATTGTTTTACTTTCTGTAAAATTTAGAGTATATTTTGATTTTTCAGGTTGTTCACGGATACCGATAGACCCAAGTATAACTTAATTTTTACCTGTTGTACTATATTTAGTTGTTTTGTAACATTCTTCTAATTTATTTAAAACACCAGAATTCTTTTCTTATAATTCCTTAACGCTACCTTAAACGTGGCTTTAACTCGAGAGGCACGTTCGATGTGGTATAACACAGTATTCATGCTAATTAACTAACGCTTTATTTAGAGTTGTAATTCCTAACTCAAAAAAGATTTGGCTAAAGCGTTCAAATTGGCTATCTAATAAATTTGTCACACATTATAGCATATCGAGGGGTAAAAGGCTATTTGGTTTAAACGACAATTTTGCAACTTTACAGGAGAGCCATTTAAAGGTTAAAAGTTTGGAAAAAGCACTATATCAAAAATTCTTCTATTTTAATGGGGTAGCCGGTAAACTAAATTGAAGCTTAAAATGAACCTTTAATTATAAAGATAAAAGAAAAAAGCGTATTAGGCAAAATGTGCTTTAAAAAAAACCTTTCATCTCTCGATATGTTGTTTAGTGATTGGATGTTACTATGAGATTCGGAGTCTGGTTACTAATAAAATAACAGTCACGGTTTTTTTATAACAATAATAATGAATTATTTTAAATGGCCCAGCGGACATATCTTTTTTAAGGTGTTACTTGAATCTTTAGATTCTTCACTCCACATTTTGGGGCTGATAGGGTAGATTTGGGTTTGTGTGAGTTCGCACCGCTTGGCGCTGCCAATAGTTCAATATCGTTTGAATAACTTCGCGTTACTGGCAGATTTCAATTCAATTTCAAGCAAAATGTATTTTGTTTCTTGTCAAAACCGTTCTCACAAATGTCTACACGTATATCTATATGTGATACCATCACTGTAGATAGTTTTTAATTTAAGTGTAGGATGAATAAAAAAATCGAAGCGTTATTAATTGTTAACATGTTACTTTTAAATTTGCTATACGTTTTTAGAAAACTCCGGCTCTCATTCTGCATTGTAATTTGTAAACTTTCTCCTAATAGTGTTTTAAGATTACTAATTGTGTACTAATATGAACAGGGCTGGAGAAACCGGATGCTCAGAAGAATGGCGGTACGTCATCTGGTCGTACATCTTCCACCTTTCTGTCGAGGACCATCAGCAATGACGAGCGCGCCAATCTCCGAGTTTCACAACTTAACACCAAGCAAGCTTAGCTTTGCATTTGAATGATGAAGCACTGCATTTTAATGAAATCGGATCGGAAATTCACACATTATCATCCTTAGTGTTAACTTTCATGTTGTGATGAAAAAAGATTTTGTTATTAATTGAATTTCACTTATGTGTATAAAACTCACTTTAGACAGTACCAATATCGTTAAACATCGTAATATGCCTTAACATTTCCCATTTATGAAAGTAGATCGAATATTCATCCCGTGAAACTAATAAAATTCATTCCTTAATGATTCTTTAACAGATTTTTGAAAGGTTCACTAGGTTTAGTTTATAGATTTTTGTAATGGCAGCATTCTCTACGCGTTGATTCTTGCTGAATGAAATTCTTCTCTTTCAATTACGAAGTTACAGGTTCAGAGTCCGAGCTTTCATTAAAACCAGCACTCTGTGATCGGTATTCGTAGTGTCAACTGAACTTAGTGTGAACTTTGTTAAATTGTATAATATTTTTTGTCTTCATTCTTAAGGGAATATTATTTTATTTGTCTTCTTTAGCGATTGTGAATACACCTTAAATGTATCGCAGCATATAGACATGACAATTCCGTATTTTCAAATATATTAAGTAATAATTCTTATGTTATACGTTTTTAGTCTAGTCATTGTTTAAGTATAAATTTAAGCTATCAGGTAATCCATAAGTTAATTTTGTTTGACTGTTATCTTTATTATATCTCTTGTGTTTAATATTTGAGTAATCGTGAATGCAAATAATATCTTTAGCACGGTTAATCAGGTAGGTAGTACTTACTAATATTAATTAGTTTTGGATTTATCATTTACAATTAATGTATATTTATAATAATGAAATTCACCCATCGAAATCCAACACGCCTAAAATGTGTTGGTGTTGTAAATGATCCGTAATTTATCTTTATTCAATCTCTATAATCTTTATTCAATAATATCCTTGGAGGTGCATGAGGAAGGGTTGTTGCATTGTAATTTTCGCATTCAATTCTTATAGTTAAAATTTGATTTGCATTTGTAAATTACTATGTATGTTTGAGTTTGAAAAAAAATATTTGCTTAAACTCGGGCTATTTTTTCATACCGATAGACTACTGCTATTAGAATTTTTAATATGGCACAAATATAATTATCTTATGAATAAAATTCAAAATTCTTGGAATTCTCGAACAAAGTATATTTTATAATATCATTGTAGTTTTGTCTTTGTTGAAACTTTTTTTTATTTAGATTAAATTAGTTAGTTGGTATACGTTCAATATTTTATCGTTTATAAGAAATCTAGTTTGGGGTGTATATTTTATTTATATGTACTATTCCACAAAAATCTAATTTAATTTCACGGTTTTATACCATGTCGCTATATTGTGAGGGGAGCGGTCTTTTGTTTTTCCGGGTAGGGTACTCGTAGCACGCGGTTGATTTAATGTTATCATCGTCGTTCAAGAATATTCTTAATACCCGATGCACCGGCTCACTGTGCATTTATCATCATCTCGACTGATCACCCCGAATCAGGGTAATCACCAACTTTGAAATTGAAGCTTCAACTAACTTTCTTATATTATTGATCCATTAATAGCGACCAAATTTTAGTAATAGTAAAATAATTAGTTAGCTATTTGCATGCCACCATTTAATCATCTAATTTGTGAATTAAGATAATTATAAGGTCTTTTTTGTTAATACGTACCTGTTATTTAGATTATGTACCTATTGCTTATCCACTGTTCTTTAAATATTATATTATATTACACAATTATGTCACATTAAGAAAATTAAGTGAAAAAAGAAAATAAAAAGTTCCATTCCAGTTTTGTTTTGTATCATTTTTCTTTTTTATGTGTGCGTTAAAATGATGATTATTCTCTCAGGACAATTAGCAATAAATCTACATATCGACGCTTGAAAGGCAAATATAAGCGACAATGCGTGAACTTTACAGTAGACTAATTTAAAGTTGAAATACCTGAAAAAAAAAATTTTTAACGAATCTAGCTGTAGGATTGAAATGATTTTAATAGACCTAGAAATATATTTTTTTTGCGCATCGAATATGGTTATTGCCTATGATATGTATAAAGTATGTATAAAGCAGTTATTGTCGCTGAGTTTGGTTTGCCTTTCAAGCGTCGATATACATGTGAAATATGTTACCCACAGAAAATATTATTTCTGTGATGTTACCGTTGTGTAGCATTGCGTTAAATTGTCCCTTAATTCTTTTTAATCATAAAACAATAGATGGCTGACCGGAATGAAACCATTTCAACCTGTACGAACAGTACAAAATGGTACGATTCCGATAAATACTATTTACATCATGATTATTTTTATGCAATTACGAAAATGGAAGTTCCCACGGCGAGTTTTCCTATTTTTAAGAATATCATTGTTTGAGATTCTAGGCTTTTTAAGTTTTCTTATTGGGGAGCCGATAGCCCTTTAGGTGTAAAGTGGTTACAGAAGTATGTAGACATCTGTCTAACTATCTACGTAAATGCTACTCGCCGAGTAAGGGCTCGACGAGTAAATTAACCTACAGACACAGCCCACTGAATTTTTTGCCGGATCTGCTCAGTGGGTCGCGTTTCCGATCCGGTGGTGGATTCTGCGAAGCAGGGCTCTTGCTAGGGTTCGTGTTAGCAACATCGTCAGGTTTGAGCCCCGTGAGCTCACCTCACTAGTTAAGGTTACGCTGAAAAGCCTCTCAAGGCTATCAGCATAGGTAGGAAAAAAAGGAAGACTATCCGACCCTTTAAATCGGTTAAATAAATAGGCAAAGCGGGTGTACCTACCTCTGCGGGCTTATAATACGCCCTATCACCACTAATTACGTAAATTTATTAATGAGCTTTAGCCACCGTTCACCAGAGGAGGGCCGTTCGGATTGTCGATAATCCCGGTCTCACGGATCGTTTGGAACCTCTGGGTCTGCGGAGGGACTTCGGTTCCCTCTGTATTTTGTACCGTATGTTCCATGGGGAGTGCTCTGAGGAATTGTTCGAGATGATACCGGCATCTCGTTTTTACCATCGCACCGCCCGCCACCGGAGTAGAGTTCATCCATACTACCTGGAGCCACTGCGGTCATCCACAGTGCGTTTCCAGAGGTCTTTTTTGCCACGTACCATCCGGCTATGGAATGAGCTCCCCTCCATGGTGTTTCCCGAGCGCTATGACATGTCCTTCTTCAAACGAGGCTTGTGGAGAGTATTAAGCGGTAGGCAGCGGCTTGGCTCTGCCCCTGGCATTGCTGAAGTCCATGGGCGACGGTAACCACTCACCATCAGGTGGGCCGTATGCTCGTCTGCCTACAAGGGCAATAAAAAAAAAAAAAAAAAAACCAGTAAAAATGTAAATTTAGAAATTTTGCGGGTCGTCATGACACACAAAGTTATTCTCTCATCGTGTAAGTTATTCGTATTAGGCTGATGTTGGAGGTCTATCTGCGGGATTTGAACCCTGATATTTGAAATATAAACGTTTGATCTGCTTTTAGCGTAAATGCTAGTTTTCTAAATCTTAGGAAATAACTGATTTGATAAAGGATGAATCTAACCCAGTTCAGCTGTCTTGAAGTGTCTCAGAATTGATTTTACTCTAATTTCCTGTAGCACCCATGTAAGTCGAAAATCGTCGTGGCCTAAAGGATAAGACGTCCGGTGATTCGTGCTCGAATCCCCCTGGCAAGTTCCAATTTTTCTAATGAAATAAGTATTGAACTTAATGTTCACGATTGACTTCCACGGTGAAGGAATAACATCGTGTAGTAAAAATCAAATCCGCAAAGTTATAATTTGCGTAATTACTGGTGGTAAGACCTCTTGTGAGTACACACGGGTAGGTACCACCAACCTGGACTATTTCTGCCGTGAAGCAGTAATGCGTTTCGGTTTGAAAGGTGGGGCAGCCGCTGTAGCTATACTGAGACCCTAGAACTCATATCTCAAGGTGGGTGGCGGCATTTTACGTTGTAGATGCTATGGGCTTCGGTAACCATTTAACACCAGGTGGGCCGTGAGCTCGTCCACCCAACTAAGCAATGAAAAAAAAAAAACATAATTAATGTATTCATGAACTATGGCGGTTTATCCAGGTTCATTTACCAAGTGTATACAAATATTTTACTGATATCTAATCTTTAAGCCTAGGGAGTGATGTTTGCTCAGCCGTAAACTCCAAATCAATTTACAATGGACTGCCTTCATAAGTCCCTTGTATGTATATGCTTATCTGCCTTCTATATAAAATCTGTAGCTTGCCATTTTTTTAGTTATAATATTTAATAGTAACCAAAGTTTATTTTTACTGTTGTATAAAAAACGAAATGTATAATTTTGTATTTCAAAAATATAAACGAACGGAAAACAAGTCAAAATAATATCATAATTTTAATAATAAATAAAGTTTTTAACTTAATAGTGTACTTGTTGAAAAAACATTCCCGATCCTGTGGAAAGAATGGAAAGCAGTCGACGTCGCCCCAAACATGTCATCTCGGATCCTTCCGATCCACTAACGGTGCTTTTAGGTACTTCAAGCACCGGTCACCGTTTTCGTCGAATCCGTCGCTTGCGACGAAGGGCTCGACAAGTAAATTAACCCTCAGACACAGCCCACTGAGTTTCTCGCCGGCTCTTCTCAGTGGGTCGCGTTTCCGATCCGGTGGTAGATTCTGCGAAGCACGGCTCTTGCTGGGGTTCGTGTTAGCAACGTCATCAGGTTTGAGCCCCGTGAGCTCACCTACTAGTTAAAGTTCCGCTGATATAGCCTCTGAAGGCTATCAGCTTAGGTAGGAAAAAAAAAGTTGAAAAAACACAACAAGCAGAGAATAACAAAATTAAACAGCATTAATTAAGCGTAAGAAAATACAGTAATTTCTTTTTCTCAATAGTGTCAGTCTTGACAGAGTGGTCGTGGTCGTCATGTAATAATGGAGGGGCAGACTTGACACGTCTCACGATGTCCCACACCACCTCTTCCTGCTCAAGGTCATTCTACTGCGGTGTAACTTACTTATTTTAAATGTTCATATTCAAAACAGTACAAAAGTATTAATAATTTATAAACATTATGTTTTGATCAATGATACAAAAAAGAAATTAATATGACGTTATTTTTTTTTGTTTTTTAAATGAAATTAAAAATTAAATCCATTCTTTCAAGGTTATTTTATATTTTACTTCTAGATTTATCATCTAGTAACGTTCGTTTATATTCAAGTAACGTCTTAAAGATAGTAAAGTTCCAAAGTTTATCGTATATACGCGCAAACTGCCGCAAACCATATTATTTACTTAACGCTTAATATAAATACCGTAAGAGCTACGAATTGAATTTAGTCATAATCAAGATGAAGTTTAAATCGTTTGTGTTGTTAGTTGTTTTCGTGATATCTGGTGGAAGTTGTATTAATGAAAATGTCGATGGCAGCAGCGTGGACACTGATTTGCTGGAACTACCAGTCAATAGTGCTTTAAAGACAACACTGCCGGAGAAAGGAGATGTTACTGAAGGCCCTACAGTACTTGTACTGATGACGAAGTTGTTAAAAAGTTCTACATTCAAGGACGAAGTTGCCAACGATTTTTCTTCACGTCATTACCACAGAAGCACAGCAGGCGATGCTCCTAGAAGAACCGTCAGGCAAGCACTCCCGGGATATTTTCCTAGTAATCCTTATTCAACTCGAGTTCCTCTCTATCCGACGATTGGTAATATAAGGAATCCACAAGGAGGTCAATCACCTTATGGTCCGACATATCAATCAACAAATTATACTTATCCTTATAATTATTCTGGAAATCAACATAATAACTATTATAATCCAGCACAAGGACCACACAATCCATTGTATAAGCCTGGAAATGGAAATTTAGGTGTTTTCAATTCGTCAAATTATGATAATCGGCCTAATAATGCTGGATTCTACCCTAAACCTCCGTATTCCGGAACCTATAACTATAATACGTCGCTTAACCACAGTCCTAGGCCATATTATTCCAACAGTACGAACCGCCCTCATTCAATCCATCCTAATTATCCTACCCCAAATTATAATCCTTCTTGGTCTACTAATAAACAAAACATTACGAATTATAACTATCCTAGCACAACACCAACTTATTACAAACCAGCGCAAGGACCTTATAATCCCTATTATAAACAAGGAAATTCTGGCAATACGAATTTAACAAATTACGGACTTTGGCCACAAAATAATGGGCAAAGTCCTACAAATGGGTTCACTGGGAATAGCCAAAATATTCCATACAATCCTAATCAACAACCTTGGAATTTTAACAGCACATTTCCAACTAACTCCCCTCAACAGTATCAATATCCGGGTCAGAATGGGGCAAACACGTTTAGGTTAGCCAATTCATATTACCCTAGCGTTCCCAATCAGCCTCCATATAATGGTAATGTGGAACAGAACCATTTCTATTATCCAGGAAATAGGAACACTACATGGCACGATCCGACCAAATATTAATTATTAACAAATATATGTCTCGCGCGTGCTCTTTATAATATATGTTTACCAATTTTCAAATAAAATTAACTACGTTATTTATAGTAGAGTTATTTTGTCCGTGCAGTTTGGGTCATAAAACATATCCCGGCTAGGGCGGTGCGCATGTTACGCGGGCGAAACGCCATTATCGATAAAAACAAATGAGTCATCGAAGGCAGGTACACGGCGGCGGGGTGGTATACGAAGAGGGTGAGACATTGTTGGTGAGACATTGTTATGTTATGAGTCATTTGTTGTACCTAACTGCAAATTATAGTACATATGTCGAAGAGAAATGTGATTTTGTGCATTCGCTCTCTGAATTTCTTTAGTGACACAATGGCTGCTCCTTTGTTTTGTACCAAAACGGCAGGGTTTATTCAAATATTTTGCTTGTTGTCAAAAAAATATCAGCACAAGCTATTATGAACAATGTGTTAAAAATTTTCACTGAAATGAGAATAGATCCCGAAAAGTTACAAAGTGTTAATTTCTGCCGTTCTCGTTAACTTGCTGCGGCGATATGTGGTGTAAGTGTTCGATTAGTGATTTTTCTTTCATTTCGATCACTAACCCAGAAAATGACAAAACTAAATATACTATCGGACAAGAGGATCCGTAAACCGCCTAAACAATAATGTTTCACTTTATTTATTTTAAGGAAAGTATAGCATAATATTTATTTTTAATTATTTTACTTTGTTAAAATTCTTTGATGTATTCCATACTCATTTTTATGTCTATCTTTCTGTTTTACTTTATTTCTTAGTTTGGCGTTTGTTAATTTTGATACATAAGTTAATATTATAGNGCTCTAGTCGCTATAGTGGCTCTTTCACAATACAAGCAGTGCGATTATGGAATTCTCTCCCTCAACCTATTCGTGCTAGTTCCTCTCTAGAAGTTTTTAAGAGTCAAATGAAGAAACATTTCCTGTCACTGTAATTGTATTTAAGTTATTGTTTTATGTATGTTTATTTATATGTATTTTTCATTTTATATTAGTTTTTATTTTTTTAAGCTTATTTTAAAAATCATGCTTTAATAGCTTTTATATTGTACACTATTCCCCTCTTATACATCGTATTTCACTCTGCTATTGGTTTGCTGGAAGAAAACTCATGAATGAGTTAAGCTCGCCTTTGTACATTGATTTAGACATTCTTTAAATCTGTTTTTTATTGTATTTTCTTTGTGTGTACAATAAGTATAAAATAAAAAATCGATAACGCTTATCGACAACAATAATGCGCATCACTATACCCGTCCATAAGGCTCGTGAGCGGAAGAGAGAGCGAAATACTCGCTTCACCGCTCCGATTTTTTATGACCCAAACTGTACGGACAAAATAATTCTACTATAGTCTACAAAATTCACACATTGTTTTATGTACTCGTCTAAAGCAAAGTACTTTTCGAATAGCACATAGAATAGAATAGATAGAATGATATATATACATACATATCTGTAATTCTTTTACTTCTTTCCTACTTTAACTTTTAGATATTTAGCTTTTCGGTGTCCACGTAAAAACGTTTATTTAAACAATCTCTTAATTAATGTAAATTTTGAAGTTGAATAATTTCTGTTTTCATGAATTGTATTGATACGTTTATAAATATATTATTGAAATGTGAACGAATATACTTTTAATAATCATTAAATTTACTGTGCCAGTAAATACTTTAATGTCTTAATAGTTGTAGTAGACAAACTAGAAATAAGTATGGAAAAATACTAAATTTGTTTAAGGGTATGCATTAAGAAATAAAATATACTTTCATCATCTCTTAGTTTTATTGCTGTTCAAATATACATTCTGAATTAGCCTTAAATAATTAGGTAATTAGCATTAAAACAATTTCTTAAATCTTGCCATTAATTTATTATACTTTAATTAAACACATTACTTTCTTACATACGAGTTCATTTGAAATTATGTTGGTCCCAAAATATATCACTGGTTAAAGCTTAATTAATTACTTACTAGAAAATATTTCAATAATGAAAAAAGTAATGTAATATAAGGCCACAGATTAAATTTGTTTTTACTTTGAATTGAATACAAATCTTTCATAAAAGCTAAGGCTAGGAATGTCTATACAAAACATAATATACAGATTAAGTACGTGAATGAATATTAGCACTGAGCAACGAATGCGACAAATCAATTAATTAATGTTTTTACCAGAAAATCGTACGAAAGCTTATAAACTTACTAAAAACTAAATTACATAAGTACAGTATAAATAAGAATACTGATCGAAGCTAAATTCTATGTATAAATTATAATACTTTCAATTGTTATCTCCTATTAATTGAATATATCTCCTATTTAGTTTTATATTACAAATATATATAAGTAGTTAACGTCCAATAAGGCAAACCGTAGACGTTGTCTCACAAAAGCCATTAAGTATACATTTATCACAAGGAATACAAAAGGTAGTTATTTTTATAACCTTTTGTGTGTTTACGTTTATTTATATATTATGTAGTTAAGTAAACGTGACGGTGATGTTTGAAATCTAATGAATTTCGTGTCGTAGTATTATGTTATGTTAGCCTTATCTTTCCCGCACATTAAGCAACATCAAAATCGAAACAAATGGACTTCACTAAATTCTGATGTTAATTCCTGAATTAATTAAGTTAGATTTCGAAAATAGAAATAATCACGATTGTAATTTCGGTTTGATCTTTGAAAACATACACCTTACTAAGTCAATTTATTCATTTTACCATAATATGATTTTCCATAATATTACCATCAGAGCCAAAAAGTCAGTTGCTTACATACTTTTGAAAACAGCATTTGTTTTTATCCGATTAAAAATACAAAAAAAAAAAAGATTTTTTTAAATGTACGCTTAGATGTCCACAACACAGAATCAACTGTAGACTGCACTTCACAAATTGATGTGACTGATATCTGACTTTTTACCTCTAATATCGGGAAGTAGTTTACGGGCGCTGGATCGGCTGCACCGTAATGGTAGGTGGTACGAAGGGTGATGGAGCCGCGGCTTCTGACGATTGTTGCACGTCCGCTTCCGCGTCTCGTTCCGCGGTCTCCTCCTCGTCTATGATCGATATGTCGCGAATAGACGGACGGTGGGATCGACGCCATCCTGAATCCGTACAAACTCATTTAATGAAATGTTCATATTATGCCTTTAATGAAATGTTCATATTATGCCTAATAATAAATCATGTGTTTCTACGAAAATCATTTTAATTTGTTAAAATGTTTAATTTGTTGTTTTGTTGGTCTTAAGTTTGTAAGTATTGAAGCCTATAGATATAACAACATGATTGCCAGTTTTCAAACATGAAGTCGAAGTTTAACCATTCTATAACAGCTGTTCCATTCTCCAAAGAGAAATGCATGATTCACGGCAGAAATACACGAGATGTACTCTACTATTATGCTTTGTAACTTACTAAAGTTACTTTAAATCAACTTAAAACGACTTTTTTACGTAGGTAATGGCTTTTGTATTGTTATGTATTCAAAACCAGCTATGTCTTTACCTCAATCAAAAATGAAATTAATGACACATGAAAATTAATTAATAAAGTTGTATTTTTGTAAAGTACCATGATAAAGCAAAACTATAAGCTAAACACACTTATATGAATAATCGTTGTTTATATTATACTTTTACTTAAGTGTGATATTTTAGTTCATAGTTTTCAACATGAATTTCACAAGAATTACCTTCCAAGACAGGTGGCTTTGATGTTCTAGAGAGCAATTTGGGTCCAGCCAGTGTTATGACGATGGCTCCAATAGGGGCAGTGATGATGATCGACATGATGCAGACAGTGATGACTGTTTCCGCATACTCCACAAGCACAGGGTCGGGTCCTTCTACTCCCGCCATTTTCCTTATCTCGTCTAACGCAACCGGAGCTAATGCAGCCTATGAAATTTCAAGTCAATTAAAATTATATAGTTATTATTAAAAATAATTTCATAAACAGGGTGTAGTACTAGTACATATATTTGTTTTATTTACTTTATAGATGAACAGACTGGCTCTTTTAGGATTTAGATGTCGAGTTCCTTTTTTTCCTACCTAATTGTTGGTAGCCCAAGGTGCTATTCCAACTACGCGTGGACTGGTAGGTGAGATCACAGGGTTCACACTTGGAGGATTTTTAAACACTATCCCTAGCAAGAGCTATACTGAATCTACTACCAATCGCATTCGCGACCCACCGAGAAGATTCGACGAGAAACTCAGTAGGTTGAATGGGTCCATAAATATTATAGTTTGAACACTGCAGCTTATATTAAGAAATGGGGTTGAAGACAAGATAGCCATAGATTAAAGGAAACTCTTCAATACAAACAATCACAACTTCACACACACAACAAATATAAAACTTCAATACAACAAATATGCAGAAGGCTAAGCTACGGTTGCTGTATGTTTGACAGTTAATAGATTAGAGCATCGTCATTGGAGATTTTGTAGATAATATTCGGGTTTTTATTTTAGAATTGTTGTTGCTTACTTGTACTGTAGCCTTAGCCATCCACGACAGGCCGACGAATATCTTTTCCTTCATATTAAGGTTACTGCGGATGGCAGAGACACTGGTCACCATCGCTCGCAGCACAACACATGTGGCAAGTATACAGCTTCCCACTAAAACTAGATGAGGCTCCAGATCAGCTATCTGTTGAAATTAAAAATAATTTTCAACATTACTTTTCTATAAATGTACATTTGGATTGTTAGTCTATTGTTTTAAAATAATAAATATTACTTGTATTACGTACAACAACTTGTGCTCCAGTGACAGCGAACAGCATAGGTTCAAAGAACATCCAGAATATCTCGAAAGCCGTCGCGACGGGATTGTCTTCAAGTTCCCAGCCAAGTTCCACCCAGTTCTTACATGCGATGAATGCGAAAGCAATTACGGCAAGAGGACCTACATACCGTAAACAAATTATATGAGTTAATTAATTATTCCTGTAATTTTAAATCATAAGCTTTTAATACTTTTGGACAATGAATTTGTAGGGTGAAATCTGAAAAGAGATTTGAAAAAAATACTCTCTAATTTATTGCACACACCGATTTCCTACTAACATTCAAATTCTGGAACGTGCATACGATAAACAAAGTCGATCGTTATTGCTAAAAATGTTCGAGAAAATCTTATGTGTTATAAACGTTAGTTCCGTCATTTCCATCACATAATGTTTTCTCAATATCGTTTTTTTATCGCCATTTTAAGTAGAAGAGTATCATAAGGGTCAATTGATTGTGTATTTATCGTCGCTTATAGATGTCGGTAATGCCAGAGGCACAGCCAAACTTATCACTAAATATTCTCCGCAATCCTCGTTTGAAGAATAACATGTATGTATGTATGTATTAGGTATATTTTAAAGCTAGACGATTCGTGGCAAAAAAGTTACCCGGAAACGTACTGCGGAATAGCTCTTTGGTTCTATATAGCTTGAATAAAATCTCCGGTAGCAGGCGGTGTTAGGGTAAAAACGAGATGACAGAAATATCTCAAACAATGTTTTAGAGTACTCTCCATGGAAAAATACGGTACTAAACATACAGAAAACTGAAGTCCCTCCGTAGCCGCAGAGGTTCCAAACAATTCGATAATCTAAATGGCCCTATTCTGTACGGAGTCAAATGAAATAGTCCTTCTTGGCAGTGAACGCGCAAAGCTGTATCTTGAACGGATTGAATTGAACTTAATTCAATTCACCCCATTGGAAGACCCGCTCCAGAGAACTCTTCATTTGACAATTTTTGGTCGTCTGTCTTGCACATACTCCGAGATAAATTGTACACAGAAAGCACTTAATTTTCGAGCTATTTATTATCTTTACAATTTAACTTTAAATTTTATCATGCTGTTGGTAAAGTAGTTAGTGTTTGAGGTCTGGGCATGTCTACTACTACATAGTTTTTGTCGCGTATGTGTGTTTTTAGGCAAGTAACACACGGAAAAAGTTTTGGGGCAGAAGATTGTAGAGTTTGTAAAAAAAAAGTGTAGCTTTACGTGAAATACTAACCAGCACCTCCCCAGCCGATCTCTTCAGAACCCAAAACTGACATGAGACCTCCAGCGAGAAGAAGTAAAACTCGTATTGGTACCAAGAAAGCATCGTTGCGTTCCGGGATGTACTTCACCATATATCCGGCCAGGACTCCAAAGGCGATCCCACCGAATACACTAAATGGACCCTGTCAAAAAATATAATAGTATCTAGATAGAAACAAATTCAAATTTTTAATGCACTTTGCCTTTGAAATTCAAATTTCAATATATTTTAAAACGTTGTGTATTCTAATCTTTTTTTTTTAATTCTTCTTCTAAATTGATTGAGAAATTTTAAGGCATTGTAGTGAATACACAATCGGTATAAGTTTAGACGTATATAAAAATTCCAGATGTGAAACCGCTTCGGTGCCCAAATATCTAATTTATTCGTTTATTCCAGCTACAGATGTTTTACGTTTCATCATTTAGCGTATGTAGTTAAAATTATTGCAATTATTGAATTACCTAATCTCATAACTTTAAATGTTTAATGCTGTTTTGTTGACTGTAATCAATGTAAACTTCGAAAATTCGACAAATAGCAGACAGATTTTGTGTTTTAGTTTGAGTTTTACATTTAATCAATATTTTCGGCTTTCTTTTGTTGTCATAAATGTGCTTATCAAGTATTTCGTTAACTCAAAAGTTTTTGTTATTTAAGCTTATAATTAAATAAACTCAGTAATGTTGTCCTAAATTATTAACGTTAAGTATGCGATTGAAGCATCATTATTGGTTTTATCATTATGCCATAAACTGGTTTTCTTGTCTTTATCCGATGCAGTGCTAAGGCTACGCTAGATTTTCAATAAGTACGGTGATCTGTACAATTTATTGTATTTACCAGAAATGTTTTTACTGTGAATATTGATGATTATATCTATCTCCAGGACAAGTAGCCTACATTTTCTTCATAATATAGTCTTAATATCTATACTAATATATAAATTTACAGTGGTTTTTACGGATGTTCCGTTATAACTACTGAACCATGCATCCGATTGACTTGAAACTTGGTATCCATGTAGAAAATACATGTACTTAATGGATAGGCTAATATTTATATGAGAGTTGGGCTCCCTACACCAGTTGCGGCGGCGTTAATGATGAGAATCTTTGTGGGGGTGAGAAATAATAATGTTAATTTTAAATGCCCAGCGAAGCGGACGGGTATAGCTAGTACGAAAATATTTTCAAACAAAACCTTTGATGTAATGCCACCTTTTCGGAAGTTTTTCGAACCATTGTTCAAATATTGTAAATAACAATCAATTATTTCAACCGAGACATTGTGAATTTGTTCATCGCAAATCTAGGATTTCGAAACAATTAGTATTCATTGAAAACATTCGATATGTATGGAACTAAGATAAACATTTAATGAAAACTTAGTATGTTTGTTAGATACATATTATTAAATTGTAATAAAGGTCAGTAGTAAGGTCAAAAAGATAAAAGGTTCCATTAATTATTCTGTTAATTATAATAAACGAATCATTACGGCCAGGTCGTTGTAACATATTGCTGAATGTCAATATGACGAAACGAAATTCTAAGTTGACATATGAATACAGAATAGCGCGTTTGAAGAAATCCTAAAATTTATAAGACCGAGGCCACGCTTGAAAAGCGTTTTTGATCACAAAACAGTGTTTGGCAATTATTGTTTATTGTTATTTCAAAAAATCTCAAATGTTCTTAAAACCTCAAATTTTATTACACTAGCATTACTGTCTCCAGTAAGAGCTGTCGCCCATCTTTAATTGTAAAACTATAGTGTCACGTGTAGCTTCCTAATTTCTTGTGCTGTTAACCGCATTTCCACTTCAATTGAGATTTTACATAGGTACGGATATATCTCGTTATTTTTAACGAACTAATGAACATTGATTACATTATGGTTCGAATAACGTAGTGTTGCAAACGTAAGATTTAATTTACCTGAATAATATTCATAGTCATCGACGAATTGGAGAACATAATCGATGATATAATGCCGAATACTGCAACACTGGCTGCATCATCGACTCCGGACACTGCCAGCACCAGCGTCGGGATGCCTTTCGATACTCCGTAGCCCTTACCGCGCAGACGGAACAAACAGGGTACTATAACAGCAGGGGACACTGCCGCTACTATAGAGCCCAGAAGAAAAGCTGAAAATATTTTACATTCATTCAATGAGGATCAGAAAGTATTAGTTTAGATAAGATGAAATATTGAGTATAGCAACATACTTCGTATGGGAAACATTTAACAAGAAACCTGTGTTAAAAGAAGTATATATAATATGAATAGAAAAATGGCAGTGACGCAAGCATTTCGTATACATTTTTTACACGGAATTTAAAGTAGTTTAACAAATTTATCTGTATTCGACAATGCAGCTAATAATGTGTGCTATTCGATTGAAACTGAATTAATGTTATGAATACAAGTGAACAAACGTGTATAAGTTATTTCGTTATTTCAATGTTATTATGTTATTATTCTTGTGATTTTTGTAAGATTTTGGCTTTATGTATTAAGTATTTTACTCACCCCAAACCCAAGGTAGTCCCAGAAAGAAGTATGCCAGCACAGCACACAAAAGGAATTCAAAGGTCCACGGTATTAAGGCCAACTTGATTACGGTGAAGAAGTATTTCTTCATAGCCACGGGATCCAGGTCCATACCAGCACGAGTTAAAATGATTGTTAGCGCTATTTTTCTGCAAATAAAAAAAAAAAACAACGTGAGGATAATAATATTTCCTTAAATGTTTTATGTATTTGAATGTATTGATTGTTTTAATGGACAGAATTTGTCGAATATGAGTATAATCGAGTTGCAACGGTTGCAATTTTAAAGAATTTTGCTAAAGTCACAATACCTTGACATTTCATAATTTGATTATTATTCTTATTTCTTAAATTTTAACTTCCTGTTTAAAACTTTGGCGGTAATATGTATTATACCTATATGCTGCTATTTTTCTTTCTTTTTTATTGTTTAGGTGGGTGGACAAACTCCGGGGCTATCTAGTGTCAAGTAGTTACTGGAGTCCAAAGACAACAGCAACGTAGATGCCACCCACTTTGAGACATGAGTTCTAAGGCTCAGTTTTACAGTACAACGGCTTAGCGGGTTCTTTTCTTACATACTAAGTTACATCATCGTGACCATGGCGCTTGCAACAGTACAGATATTACTATTACTAGATATTAATTGCACTGGTGGTAGGATCTCTTGGGAGTCCGCACGCGTACCACCACCTCGCCTATTTCTGCCGTGAAGCAGTAATGCGTTTCGGTTTGAAGGGTGGGGCAGCCGTTGTGACTATACTGAGACCTTAGAACTATATCTCAAGGTGTGTGGCGCATTTACGTTGTAGATGTCTATGGGCTCCAGTAACAAATTAACACCAGGTGGGCTGTGAGCTCGTCCACCCATCTAAGCAATAAAAAAAAAATACTACAATAATTTTTATTACTACAATAATTAATTACAATAAAAAAATCGTAGTATGAATCCGTAACATATTAATATTTATAAAATTACTAGCTGACCCGGCAAACGTTGTCTTGCCATATATAAGATTTCTAGAGAATTTCTAGTGTAGAAAAAAAATGACTAACTTATTGGAAGTGTATAAGGATGTGGAATATGAGTGAAAAAGGCCTGGAGCGCTGTGAACGATGAGGGAATGTTGTTTAAAAATAACAAAACACCAAACATTAATTGTTTTAATTTATTAAAAGTAATAATTATATATATAATTAATTCATTACATAATAATAATCTCTTAATGCTGCAGCGTGAACAATATTTTTTGTTAGCCCGTCTTTAGCTAATACAAACAAACTTGATGGTTTACCCACTCGAGAGCATGCAACGTATAATTGTCCGTGTGAAAAACATGGTGTGCTCAAATCTAAGCCACAAACAGACATTGTTTGGCCTTGGGATTTATTAATAGTCATTGCAAATGCCAATCTAATCGGAAATTGAATACGCTTAAATTGAATTGGCACATCTGTGGGTATAATAGGTATTCGTGGTATCAATATATTTTCACCTCGAAACTTGCCATTTATAATGGTGCCTTCGATAACTTTTTTCATTATTTTTTTAATGACTAATCGCGTACCGTTGCATAACCGTGGCGGGTTCAAATTACGAAGCAAAATAATTGGAGATCCAACCTTCAATTGTAAGTTATGTGGTGGCATGCCTGGCAAATCCAGTGAGTTCAAAAACTCTGTTGGAAAATTTACAGATTCAGTGTCATCGCAAACTGTATCAATAGATTTATATGATACCAAGTCCCCTGGCAATAACTGTGGTATCTTCAGATTTAAAATGTCAACGTCCACATTTTTTGCAGCTAACATTGCTCTTTCTGCAAGCCACTCGAGATTTATGTAATTCGTGTGTACATCGGGAAATATTTGTTCAATGAGAGCATCTTGCGAATCAATGATAGTGCAGAAATCATTCGCTAATTTTATGTATCCAGTTTCAGCTATAGTGACTTTTCCATCGCCGATATTTAAGAGTTGTTTTGAGAATGTTTCAGCGGATGGATCTTGAAGCATTTGAACGCGCATATTTACTTTCAGCTGTACTATTTCAACATTACGCCACAATGTCGATGATTTTAAGCAGGCGTTGATTTCATCAGCGTATGTTGAACGTGGAATGACGGGAAGTGTTTGTCTAAAGTCACCTGAAAGGACTAACCGAGTGCCACCAAATAGTTTGTCGTTGTTTTTAATATCTTTCAATGTCCTGTTCAACGCCTCAAGCGAATGTTTGTGTGCCATGGTACATTCATATTTTCCACTCTAAGCACCGCCATGTCACTGCCTTTATGGACATTGTATTTGATACTTTTCACAGAACTGCAGAACTCAACATTAATATGAGCATTGTATGTTTTGCTCAGCAGGGGTGAATATGGCACGACCTAACGATTGTCAATATCAATGTCTGTGTTGCTGATGTTTTTAATAAATGATTGTCCGCCATTATCTGGATTCCTTCGGCGATATGTTGGATATCCGTTGACATTTGTGATTGTATCGTTAGTGAAATCTTTAGGGATTTTTTTTGTAGATTTTCCATGTGACATGCAAGGCGATGAACTAAAAATGTTTAACTACTACGCTTGAAGCTTAAACACTAATAATAGCCGAAAACTGTAGAGGTAACATCCCTACTCCGTGCTGTTTACTGGGTCAGAAGTGACACCTGTAGACATCTGGCGGGGATAACTAATTAAATGACGATTGATCAGTTTTCGACCGGAGAGGAAAAATGATTAAATTACTAAAATGGCTATTAAAAAATAAGGGTTGATCGTAGAAGGGTGAAAATTGAGGATTGTATGTATTTTTGTATGTTGTATCATAAAAAAATAGAAATTAAAAAATTTGTCTAAAAAAATAAAAATAAAAAATTTAGGGGTGGACTACCCCTAACATTTAGGGGGATGAAAAATAGATGTTGGCCGATTCTCATAGATACCGGATAAGCACAAAAAATTTTATCAAAATCGGTCAAGCCGTTTCGGAGGAGTATGGCAACGAAAACTGTGACACGAGAATTTTATATATTAGATTAGGTTTCGTACGTCGATTTATTTAGCGTTTGAAATGAAACAGCCATCTTCACTTGACAAGGAAGGAAGCTCAATTATTCATCTTCATTATTGTATCGCTCCAGTAAGAACATTGACACAGGATACTAATTAATGCTTTTAATTATTTAAATCAGTACATAGGTACTCAATTCTGTTATAATATAATGAAATAAAGAGCAAATGCGGTTAGAAACAGTGCTGGTAGTTTTTTTTTTTGGCAATATTTAGTATTCTTACCTGATATAAGAAGCTATGTGTTGGTATGACTTGTCAAAGTTTACGAAGCCGATGTTTTTTAATAGTAATCCCACGAATAACATTCCTATGAGTGCGGGTAAAGTGGTCACTTTCATCATGACCCATCCACCGAAGTATGCGGCGATTGTGAGCACGGCTAGCGTGAAGAGTTGGCCGCCGGGGGCCGCCGTCTCGCCCATCACGATCCATATCGTTACCCAAACCATAATACCTTGAGACGAAATAAGAAATCTTTATAACAACCATCTATACTAATATTATAAAGAGGAAAGATTTGTTTGTTTGTTTGTTTCGAATAGGCTCCGAAACTACTGGACCGATTTGAAAAATTATTTTTCCATTAGAAGCCGACATTGTCCCTGATGAACATAGGCTACTTTTTTTTTTTTTTTTATTTTTTTTTTTTTGGTTTCATGTGTGTTTTAATGTTTCCGAAGCGAAGCGAGGGCGGGTCGCTAGTTATTAGCTATAATTCTTTTCATCTTAAATCATCTTAAAATATACTTAAGGACTAAATCAATTACTGCTCGTTATGAAATAAATTCCTTCGTCGGACGTACGTTTGTCATGATATCTATGACTTCGGAAAACCAAGAAAATAAGCGAATAAATGTGGTGGCTATGTTAAAAATCCGCATTTTTTTTAATTCGGTTAATTATTTTGTTTGTTAATTTAATTATTAGTTTATTATTGTTAGAAATTTGTAATTATATTAGACTAGTTAACCTTACATCGATATAGAATGAACTCTCAAAATATAAAAAAATATTTTATAATTTTTCAATTCAGCTATAAAACTGTGCCTTTAGTTTTTTAAATTGTCATACATAAATAAGTAGGAATCAAGGTAATATACATAAATTCGGTATATTTTAAGTCTCCTCAACATAATTTGTGGCAGTTTTTGGGAAATACACAGATATCTCGAGATTAATCGAGAATGCCGATACTACTATGAGGAAAACAATAAAACTGTGAGCGCTAGATTGCACCAAGAAAACTAATACTAAAACAATTACGCAGTGAAACGAATGCGTATGTCGAAGGCATTTCATGTGAAGGCATGTGTGTCAACATCATAACTTTCTACTATGAGTTCTTAAAACAAGTCCCTGTGTATTGAGCAACATAGGTTGTTTTTTCCGGCTGCATTTTATGCAAATTAAATACATGAAAGTTTCGAACGATACGCAATGTGTTTAAATAAATAATTGTATTATAGATAAAACTTACCAATGAGGAGTACTGATATAGTTTGCGCAAATGTTCGATAAGACGGACATAGTGGGTATGGGCATACTCTCTGCCAGTGTGGAGGCTCCCACGAAGGAATCCCGGAGTCTTCTTGGTGACACTTAGCGCAACACGCATACCACCACGACCTGTGAACAGAATTGAAAATAAACAATTGAGGCCTATAAAATCAAAGGCAGCTAAATCCAAGTCTGTAAAATATTCAGGTAAACTACAAAAATCGGTCCTAAACACGTCATTACGGATCCTCCCGATCCATAGAAGTACTGCTCTTGCTAGGGCCAGTGTTAGCAACACTCCCGGTTTGAGAAGCTGAAATAACTTTGTTCGGATAGCTATGATATTTTTTATTTTAAAGCACATATACAAAGAATGAGAATATTACTAATAATCTGAATTTTAAATGATAAAGCTTCGTTTATTAGTACTTAGTACAGAGCAAAAATAAAATTTTTGAACTGAATTTGTTAGAGATTTAGCTGCATTTGTTATAATATAAAAACATTAAAGCGTATCCAACTGACTAAACAAGATAGAGCCATTGTTAATCCATTTTACGACATTAAGGCGTTTAGCTGCCTTTGATTTTATAGGCCTCAATTACCATGTTGTTATGTTACACTATTGATAGTACTATTAATAAAAAACTACAATATTATTGATAATGTTACCTTTCGATGTGTTCGCTTTGATGTGATAATGCTTTTTTAGAGTATACTGAGGATGTCGTAGAATATTTTTTGAATCTCCCTTCGATGTGTCCTTGTCGTTCTGTGGAACAAGTGAACGACTGTTAGACATGCGGCACTATGACGAGTGAAATACACGAATCGATTCTTTTGTGAACGAACAGGTGTGATGGGAACCTTTACATTCCATACTATTAATAACTAAAATATTCACATTTAATGGTTTTAATGGTCTAGTTAATAGCGAAGCCAAACAAGCAACCAATTTTATGAGTGTCTTTGTTTATTTGGCTGTCATCAAAAATAAACATGGGTATGGGAGTTGTATCGGCCTAAAATGGCGCCACCATTTCTCTTCGCATGGATGCCATAAAAAGTGGCTGAAGAAAGAGTTGTAGTATTCTCCGAGAATTATACTATATTTATATTTCCCCTAAGCAGTAATGCGGTCTGGTTAGAATTTTTTTTTATTGCTCTTGTAGGCAGACGAGCATACGGCCCACCTGATGGTGAGTGGTTACCGTCGCCCATGGACTTCAGCAATGCCAGGGGCAGAGCCAAGCCGCTGCTTACCGCAAATGTGGAAAAATCACTACACAACACAACTTAGACTTCCACTTTATATCTCAAGCTTGGTGGCGGCAATTTCGTTGTAATATGTATGGGCTCAGGCAACTAAATAGTACCTTGTGACTGTGAGCTCTTCGGCCCGTATACAACAGGAAAATGGTAATTCCCTTAGATATCTCATATCATCATCATTTACTGCAAAAGGGTAAGAAGCAGATGAGACTTAGGTCAGAAATATTGTAATATAAAGTCTGAAATATTCTTACCCCATGAGGAATCCATTTCTGCGTGTAGAGCATTGTGTAGGTTACTTTTACGGCGTGAAGGCCCTTCAGCTTGTGTCGAAATGCGTCCATTCCTGAAATAAGAAGACACATTCTATTAACTTGTGATTTGACAAACACTTTTTATTTCTAAATTTACTTCTTATAATATTATTATAGTGCAGTCTGTATGGTACCAGTTTTTGACATTTTGAAAATATACCACGTCTAGCAACATTTGAAGAAGGACATCGCGCTCGGTAAGCACTGAGGAGGGATGCTCATTCCAAAGTCGGATTGTATGTTGCAGAGAAGATCCCTGGAAACGCACTGTGGATGAGCGTAGTGGTTCTAAGTAATATGGATTAACCCTACTCCGGGGGCGGGCGGTGTGCTGGTAACAACGAGATGATCTGATCATCTGAAGCAATTCCTCAGAGCACTTTTTGTAAATTACAAATTGTATCTTCAAGAAGTTGGCCTAGAAATCTTGGGAATGTAGCCCATCATTCCCAACCTTGGGTACGACATGTTCGAAACAATATTTTACTTGTGTTTTTGTTATCAAATTGAATTAGGTGTAACAAGAGAAAATCAGCTTAATCAGAAAGTAGTGGCCCAAGATAAAAGCAGTGAATCCTACGTCTTACGTGTCCTCGAAATATGAACTATAGTGATGGGACATACTAGTTTATATAGGTAGTAGTTTAACTCAGTACAAGCATAAGATTAAGATGTATATAAACATTTATATTTTATATTCGAGCACAAATCGTGCACTGCGATCCAGAAATTACTATACATAATCTTTTGATAACTTTATTTTCCACTTAACAATTGTTAAAATATATAACACATTCAATTATAATAATTTTTCCTTTCCTTTTTTTGTACCTACATAAAATACATACTTACAAGCGTTTAAATATATGTACTTACACAGATATAACACACCAAGACTTGAGTGTAAATATTGCTTTTCCGTATACAAGTTGTGTGAATAAATTATTAAATTATTCGTTTAAATCAAGGTATTAGTGTTTCAGTTTTGTAAAATCACACAAATAAAAACAACAACATTTTTTATTATAATCTTAGATGTAATCTTCCGCGTAACAAAGATTAGACCACGCGGTTCATACTACACTAGACTACGAGAACTATAATTCTATAAATAAAAATGGATTTATGGAGCTGGTATTTAGCGGTCCTTTCACTTTTTATTGCTATAATTAACTAGACGTTGAAAATCTTGCTTTAATTTATTCGAATAGTTGCCGGTGGCCGTGGTGTTAAATAAAGATTAATTAAAAAGGACCGTAACGATTTTAATGTGAATCGGAAGGTGAATTTCACGATTAAGTTCACCGGTTGTTTTAATTTCAGTTGCCATGTTTTTGTGACTTTCAAATGCCTTGAAAAACTCTGAACTAGCTTCATTTAATACGAGAGCGTACCGAATATTTCATACGTTAGCATTTATTTCTGTAAGATTCATGTATTGCCCGTAAACATCTGATGTGGCCAGTGTGCTTATTTTTACCGGGAAGCAGGCATGTGTTTCAGTTTGAAGGATAGGAGAGCCGTTTTACATACGATAGCCCACAGTACCTTACATCATGAGTTGGATTCTGGCATTTACAACTAAACAAATGTGTTTTCTTATTTTTTTTATAGTTGAGTTTTTAGAGTGCGCTTTTAATTAGATTCTTGGCTTACGGAATAGTTCTTTTATATCGATAAAGCGTCAAAGAGGTATTGCCAGAAATGTTGTTTTATCTTATATTTATTACGTGCTGATTGAGTTGACACATGTTGTATTAATTTTATTCCCAGCTTGAGGCCAGATGAGCGTATGCTATTTGTCTAATTAAAACAAATGGGCTTAATGAGGTCTATAATCAAATATAATGCGTGTATTTAATAGATGTTTTTTTCCACAGAAGAAAATCGAATGTAAAAGTATGTGGGAGTTGAACCTCACTAAAAACTCCTGCCGCTCACAGCCGGCGCCTTACTCTGGACCGGACCGCAGTCCAGTCGGGGTTATTGAGACGGCGGGATAGGGTTTACGCAGAGCACATTACATCCATCCCGCCGCCCCCGGTTCCCACGGTCGACGGGCCGGGAGCCCACCTTGATGGCGCCACGCTGCAGCTTCCCCCAGAGCGGTCGGGGGAACGCGGTCTACCATCACCCGGCTTCCTATTACGGGCGTGGCGTAAATCACCCCGCCCCACGGTTGGGTCCCTCCCCGCATAAAGCGAGTGGAGCCCAAAGCTCTTAGGGGGCCGGGTCACGGATGGGACCCCGGTCCCGACCCCCTGCCCGGCGGCGGCGGATTTCTGCGTAGTGAGGAGAGATTTGCCTCACCCGCCCCGCCGCCTCTTTCTGCGAGATGGTGCACTTGCAGAAGTCGAGCATAGCTTTTCAAGACTCGTCGTCGCCAAGCATTGACGCCACGATGCCAGGCAGCGACAAGTCCGGTCCTATCTTTGCGATCAGGACACGGCGCTGCACCTCCCAAGCGGGGCAGACAGCGAGCGTATGCTCCGCCGTGTCCAGGTCGTGTCCACAATGGTGGCAAATCGTCGTCGGCTCAGCTCCTATCCGGTGCAAGTACTTCCCGAAGCATCCATGCCCGGTCAGCACCTGCACTTGACAGATGCTGTGTCCTTTATCCATAAACTGAATTTAAGTAAAAAAATGTATGGCGGATGTGTGAAAGAACATTTCATTCATTGTGGTGTGCTCCATGTTGAATATAGTATAATTAACGAATAATTAAACGTTCATTACTTCCTTATTTCTGAGCAATGTTTAATTTTGTTTTCGTCAAATCGATCAACATGTTTGTGTAAATACGAAATTTTTTGGGCCAGTACGAGGTCTACGTTTCATTTTTCATTTGTTACGAAATTTTTTGGGCCAGTACGAGGTCTACGTTTCATTTTTCATTTGTATATATGAGTCGTCTATTATCAAAGGTGGCAATCTGTGCATTTGAACAAGAAAATGTTATTGATATGTCAATACAGATTGATTTGAATATAATCGTCTCCTTCAAAGAATACGGTTCAAAACCTGCATTAAATAAAGGTTAATACTTAACCTGTTATTTAAGATGTCGTTCAGAAGAGTTTTGTGGCTGCCAATGGAATACAAAGTCAATAATTCGTTTTTCTGATTTACCAATAATTGTCCAAAAGTCACATTGCCGGCTTTGATACTAGTCGACTCATATCTGATACCTAAGCAAAGTAATCTATTTTATAAATATTAAACAGTAAATACGATCAGTAAATTGTCGGTAAATACTTATGCGGTTACGTACTTTATAACAATGTCGGGAACTCATAAAAACAAAAAAATATTAGTATAAATTAAATAGTAGTTCAATCTGGTATTGCGGCCGAGTGTTATGTATATACCTACATTTGTCCCTATCGCATACACACATTATTTATAGCGTCACATAGTGCGCAGTTTTTTCTTGCCATTCGTTTTTTTTATTGATCAGGGAACGAATTCAAGATCAATATGGTTATAACGGTCGACCTAGCCCTTCGAAACGGAGCGTATGAATACTTGCGGTAGAAATTTGCTGGAAGGTGGTATCTACCCTCACGTGCTTACAATGTATGTTATCAGTATCAGACGCAAATAATAATCTATCTGTGTTTACTTTTTATTACACGATGTTAACACGAGCTAACGGTTCACTTGGTGTTAAGTGGCTGGAAGCTCACAAACAAAACGTGAGTACCTTTTTTTTTATTGCTTAGTTGATTGGACAGCCCACCTGGTGTTAAGTGGTTCACCTTCACCCGCCTTGGAACGAGTACATTTGTGGCGCATTTACGTTGTGGATGTCCATGGGCTCCAGTAACCACTTAACACCAGGTGGCTGCGAGCTCGTCCACCCATCTAAGCAATAAAAAAAAAACGTTTCGCGGCGACAATAGCCAGGATGGTACCTTCCCTTATCAATTCATTATTCGCCCTACCATCAATTAAAACAGTAAGCTACGAATTATTTGCTTTTTTAATACTTATAAATGATATGATAAAAAATGAATAAATAATGAATCTAATCATTTACATTACAAATTAACCTTTCGTATATAGTTGGCGCTTACCCGCAATATGTTTTCACGAAGTAATCATATTTCATTGAGACTACATACTTCAAGGGTATTTCGGTTTATTATTTCTATTAAGCTTAAGTCATGTGACTGTAAAGGTTAAATTGAGTCATGTGCCTAGCGTATGGCCGCAGTGCTTTTATTAATTAACGTTTTTGTGTCACAAGCTTTAGTTAAAATGATAAAAAAAACATTGAAGCACAATGCATGCTGCTGTGTCGTAAATGGACAGCCATTAACTGATTACTATAAGAGTCATTTATTATTGACTTCCCGTTCTTTTGATAAATTTTCGTGTTCGGTTTTATAAATTTTTTATTATAAAATTTTATAATGCATTTTAATTTTCATTCACTGATTAGACAAAAGTGAAGTTTTTTTCTTTGAGACATTACATATGAATCCGTTGCATAGATGGGTAAGCTTGCTTACGTCCCAGTTGTTGTTAAGTGGTTACCGAAGCTTATAAATATGAGACCGAAGTTTCAATTTTATAGTAGTATAATGGCTGTCCCAGAGCGGATAGTATAATTGTTTTGCGGTAGAATTAGGAAGGATGGTGGTACCTGTCCATGCAGGCTCAGAATACGTCCTGATACTAGTGATCATGTCCATTACAATGAAGTTATGAGTTAAGCGAGGTGACCATGTCGGTTTGTACTGAAATTTATCAGCTCGCTCTATCAGCATCATTCTATTCTATTGCTAAATTTGTTGATGTAAAGGAAATTAACGATTTTGCGTCATTGAGATTTTTTTAGTATATTCTTTGAATTGGATAGTAAAAAAATTGAGAGTATTTTAAAATTAGACTAGATAACTAGATAACTAGATATGTTCTATTTTCAATTTAACAGTTCTTTTCAAGCATCGCAGAAAATTTTATTTCATAAATTCGCATAAGAATTAAAAAATATCAGAACTCTGCAAATATTGTTTAAGCCGTGACT